TGTCAAATTAATAAATGACAGTGTCAGAACACAGTTCACTTTTAAGAAAGAGTTTGAAAGTTTTTTGCGGAGATGTCAAATTAATAGAGGATAGTGCTAGAACACATGTGTGTACACTCTACTACCCATTCTAGATAAAATATGGACTGACATTTCTACAGATTTTATTTTGGGATTACCACGTACTCAAAGAGGAGCAGATTTTTTTTTTGTGGTTGTGGATAGATTCTCAAAGATGGCACAATTTATTTGACGTAGAAAGACTAATGATGTCGTTCAAGTGGAAAATTTATTTTTTAAGGAAATAGTTCGTCTGCATGGTACCTAAGATTATTACATCTAATAGAGACTCAAAATTTCTGTCCCATTTCTGGCATATTCTTTGGAACAGATTTGACTCATACCTAAAATTCAGTACTACGAGTCATCCACAAACTGATGGTCAAATAGAAGTTGTAAACAAGACACTTGGTTATTTAATCTATTGTATTTTAGGAGACAAACCAAGACAATGGGATCTTGTCTTAGCTCAAGCAGAATTCGCATATAATTCTATGATAAAATGGTCTACAAATTACTCTCTATTTTCTATTGTCTACTATTTTCCACCAAAAGTCCTTGACTTAATTGAAGTACCAAGAAAACCTAGTACTAGTGTACATGAGAATGTGAAGAAGCATGTTACAATCAATTATGTAAATTACAAGGAAAAGGCAGACAAAAGTTGGTGATTTGGTTATGCAAACTACAAGGAAAAGGCAACCAATTACTTGAGAAAAGAACAATTGCTAGCAGAAAATTATCACAAACTCAGTGCATATGTCATGCACTTACTAAAGATAATGGAAATATCATCTAGATTTAGTGTCACTGAACCTAGTATTGTTGTAGCTTGAAGCCCGCTTTACTGGCTCTATTACGAAATTAGGCCCATATATTTTTTCATTATTTTTCAAATTTTATTTGAAATTTAAATTTGAATTCCAAAATTGAAATACAAAATTCAATTTTTTGTTTGAAATTCAAATTTTATCTGAAATTTAAATTTTTGTTTGAATTCAAATTTCATTTGAAATTTAAATTTTCGTTTGAATTCAAATTCCTTTTCATGAAGTTCTCTCTTTTTGCTGGTGGACTCCAGCACTCGTGTGGACTCAAGGAACATGTTCTTGATTCTATGGATTTAGAATCATCCCCTTGTGGACTCAAGGGACCTATCCTCTTCACCCTATGGATTTAGAGTGAAAGGACAACAATTGAAGCATATTTTTTGAGGATTCAAGACTATCTTCAACCTCCACAACATCAAAATTGATCACAACTAGTGCAAGCCATTGCCTCCTCAAGTTTCACTATGTCAACCTTCTTGTAATAATACACCTCCAATGCTAATTATGGATACATCAAATTCCACTTCAAATAGTTTATCGAAATTTGGCAAGACTAAAACAAGAGCAGAGCATAATTTCTCTTTTATCATGATAAAACTTTTACTAGCTTCATCAGTTCATTTAAAATGACCCTTTTTCATATAGGCAGCAACAAGAGACATTTCGAATGAATCTTCTATAAAATGATGTCAACCCATGAAAACTTCGAACTTGATGAATTATGATTGGTGTTGACCAATATTTGATGGCTCTGACTTTTTCTTTATCTACTTTGATACCATATGCACTTACAATGTATCTCAAGAACAACAAACTAGTAGACATGAAGTCACATTTTTTCAAGTTAATAGATAATTTAATACTTTGAACACCGACTGAAGATGTTTTATGTCTTCATCTTTTGTAATACTATAAATAAGAATGTCATCAAAATAAACAATAATAAATTTGCCAATAAAAGGTTTCAGAACTTGATTTATCACTCTCATAAAAGTATTGGGGGTGTTGGATAAGCCAAAAGGCATGACCAACCATTCATAAAAACTTGTCTTAGTTTTAAGGGTAATCTTCTATTCATCTTCTGGCCGAATTCGAATTTGATGATATCTAGTCTTTAAATCAACTTTTGAGAAAATTTTAGAACCACAAAGCACATTTAACATGTCATTTAGACGTGAAATTAAGAATCTATACTAAATTGTTAACTTGTTGATAGCTCTGCTATCAACATACATCAATCAACTTCCATCATTCTTTGGAACAAGTAAAGCAGTCACAGAGTATGAGCTCATACTTTCTCTTATCAATCCTTTACTCAATAACTCTTTGACTTGTTCTTGAAAATTTTGATTTTCTTGTGAAGTCATCTTATAATGTAGAAGGTTAGGCAAGCTTGCTTTTGGTATAAGGTCAATATGATGTTGTACATCTCACATTGGTGGAAGATGAGTAGATAGTTTTTGAATTATAGAAAATTCAGATAAGAGATGTTCAACAGTTTTTGGTATCACATCAATTATTTTGATATCTGAATCAGGTTTTTGAACAATAACAAATAATTCAGTATTAATATCAAACTCCTTAAGAAACCTAGCATCTACTCGAAGAATCGGTTTGCTGCTTCCTATGCATTTCCAATAGAGTGGAACCTAGCTTAGCTCTGCCGCCCCATCTACTCGAAGGAGTGATCATCACTCCAGTACCGACACGAAGTTTCACCTACGGGATAGCAATCTTTCTTTGCCCTGGCCTCCGGTATGCCCGGAGGACTGACTATACAAGGTCTTCCCAAGGAGAAACATCTAGGTGTTTATGAGCATTACTTTTCTTTTCTCCTTCTCTCCTTTGCTAAAATCACTATCTTGCATTGGAACCAAAATAATTTTTTTATCATTTCGATAGAAAATATAAGTATTTTCCTTGCTATAGTGTAGCATCAACATCAAATTGCCACGGCCTGCCTAATATCATGGGACAAGCATCCATTTCATCAAAATAAGTCTTATTAGTTGAAAATTTGATTAGACATGTCTCTGAAACTTTAGTTTTTGTTTCCTTCTTGATCCAATCAATTCGATATGGATGAGAGTGTGGCTTATCTATAAACCTAATTTTTTGACCATCACAGAACAGACAATATTTTCACTACTACCACTATTAGTGATGTCACATATCCTAAAATTCATAGTGTACATCAGAGCAGACCGAGCATGGCTGAGCTAGGCAAGCCAAGCTAAGTGACCGACTAGCTAGAATATTAAGAGGCTAGGTTGGGCTGAGCCAGGCAGGCCAAGCTAAGTGACCAACTAGCTGGAATATTAAGAGGCCGGCCATAATCATCAATAGGTCACCAGGGAAAGTGGAACTTACGAGTTGGCCTAAGACTTACATGGATGTGAGATACGTGGCGTGTGCAAACTTGATGATATTTCGACAGACTATTGGTGACATGGCACAATCTCTATTGTTCAATCAAAATTGGATGGTGATCCTCCTCTTCGACACAATAGTAACGCAAAAGATGAATAAGATCTAGGCCTGAATCCACGAAGTTCTAATCTTAGGTACAAATCTTGGGGACAAAGTCTGACTAACTCTAAATGACTTAAAATAGATTCTAACAGACTAAGATCTTAGACAAATCTTCTAAAAATACTATGACTAACTCTGAAATAACCTGAAATAGATTATGATAGATAGATATATTGAATAGATCTTAGGCACAGACTTTGACAATCATAGATTTTGAGTAGATCTTAGGTATAGATTTTAATAGTCTAAGATCCTGAACAGATCTTAGGTACATACTGAACCACATTAAAGTCCTTTCTAGAAAGAAAGAGACATAAAAGTATCTTATAAAAGTGAAAGGACATAAAGTAGAAAATAAAATATTACTTTTTGGACTTCTAGCCTACCGATGACATATGTGGGCTCCTTCTTTAACACTTTTCACTTTATGGCCCAAATTTAAGATGAGTGGGCCCAAATTCAATGTTGAGATTTCAACTTGTGTCTTGGGCTACATCATTTTCGAACTGCCCTATGCATGTGTTCTTTCTCCTTTCTATCTATTTGAAAATAGACTCAAAAAATCTCGACTGAATACAACCATTATTTTATCTCACCATGTAATATTTTAGTATCATTGAAAAGACTCTTGAGGAGATGATTCAATTGCCACCAACTATTTATGATTTGGTTGTGTATCAAGAGTACAATCCCAACTTAAATTAAGGGTTTTATTGTCATGGAAAAACTTAGAAAGCCTTGGATATGGTGTACATTGAATCATTCAGTGATAATTTAGATATATGTGAGGCTTGCCTATTGACTATGACCAATCTAGATAGATTTATTTACATTTTACTAACTTTAATCTTTGAATTTAGATAATTTCATTAATCATGATTCATTTTTTTGTTTTTCCTCTTTTTAGGGAGATAAATTTTCAACCGATTCATGATTTTTGCCATCTCTCTTGATTCTATCCTCTAATCTTTATATTTTTCTCCTTACTTTGTCCACCCATTTGATTTCAATGACTCAAATCTCATGCTCTCTATGAATCGACCCTGAACTTGCCACTGTACTTGATTTTTTGTATTTTAACTAGTGAAATTCAGATTCATAAATATTTTTATCCACTACTTTTGAAGTATTTAAATGACCCTCAATCATGTTCTGTCAAACCCTTAATTCAAGAAGTGAATGAGAGAGAGGAATAACCTCCAATCCAAGAGGTGAGTGAGATAATAAGAGATTCCAAATTTGAAACCTCTTCTCAAGTGTTTTTATTGAGCTTAAATAAGGGTGACGAGAGAAGTTATAAATGAGAGAAACGGGAAAGGTGGTTAGAGACACCCCCTCCCAAAGGGTGCCATGAGACATCTCTTGTAGGGAGAGGTGACTCATATAGGGGAAGAAGGGGTGCATAGGTGATGTGGCCTCTTCTCCACCCTCTTCTTCCTCCTCATAGGCCCACCTAAGGGAATGGATCCTCGTGACCTAGATAGATGGCCCATTGACTTCATCAGGCTCAAAGAGTGTTCAAGCTTGAGAAGGAGGGAATACCTTATGTGCGATGGCAGTATGAGTGAAGTTCATTAATTAAAATGCTAAAATTAATAGGATTACCCTTACATTATTGGCCAAAAGGAGAAAAATAAATGCTTTGACCTTTATTTCAAGGACACCCATGAGAGGAAACTAGGTACAGAACATCAGATGGCGTTTAGAATGAGGATAGGGAAAAACGGGCTTGGGCCCAGATCCTGATAAAAATCGGCTATACTGTTCTTTTTAAACAGTCTAAAAGGAAAATCACAGGCAACGTGTGGCTCAGGCTGTGCTATAAAGGAGAAATAGAAGCTGTTCATAGTACACGTGGAACGATTCTACAGGATGCGCCGCAACACGACAAACCTGATGCTTCCAGAAGAAGCGCTTCTCCTACTCCATAGACATGGTTCTCTGAACCGTCCGAAGGGCCGTGCAGCGCAGCGTGTGGCATCGGCGAGCTCGAAGGCGGGTGAGGGACTTAGGAAGTGATGGCTGTGAAGGTGATTCTGCCGTTCTTCATCTTGTTTCTTATCAAAGACTCCTCTCTCCTTCTCCGCCCATCTGCCTGCGGTTTCCACCACTGGGGTCGGACTAAGCGAAGCGGCTTTCGCCCGGCTGTGGAGTAACAACCTGAAAGTCATCCGGCGAGGCAGTTCAGTGGGAACGGACCGACTTGTCTGCCTTTTCCTTGCTGTATCTCTGGACTTCTTCCAAGGATTTGCAGTCGGAGGGTGGCTGTCGATTCCCTACTTGATCTAGCTGCTGTGCTAATCTGAATTATGAATATCGGCGTGTAGCTTGTGACTATGACGGATGTTCTTCATGTCTTGTAGGCATGGTTGATGGACGATGGGGAAGAGGATCAGCGACTGCCTCACCACCGTGTTCCGGTGGAGTATGTTCCGCTGAGCCAACTCGCAGGTACTATTTTTCGAACCCCTTCAGAGTATCGTTCGCAAATTCATTATAAGGACGCATACATACAGCAGCCCTTCAAGCGAACGGAAGGTTGTAGGTTTGTCACTCCATACCCGAGTGTGTACTTCATTCACACACATCTTCCAATATAAATACATTTTCCGATCATATACAATGCGGCATAAAGCTAAACTTTAGAGCATATTCGAAATCTTTTCAGCGTCTTTTGTTGGTCTATCATCACATAAAGATCTTTTAGATTGCTGTTGGATAACTGATTACAACTAGACTAGACTCAGTTATTCAAATTCATCTATCTAACTATGCGTGCTCAATAAAATAGGATGGCTGAACGAGCCATTAGCTCAGATAAAGTCACCAATTTATTCGATCAACCCGCTAACTTATCTCTGCCATCATCAATTTGAGAACCATATTAACCAAACATTACAGTATGACCGAGGCAAGTGTGGCGTGTTATCAGACTGAAAGTCGAATAAGGTAACGAGTTCCCTACGAACTCCACTGTTAAATTCCTCGATCATCTTGAAACACAAAAAATCTACATCACCATTCACACGCCATCCACGGTTGATTTAGATGTTTCGCCTGATCTTTGTGGAAGTCAAGGTTGAGTTGGCATCAGTAGCTTCAACCCCCACCATTAGGATTCTGTGCCGTTCTGAAAAGAGCATACAACGCTTCTGCTGGAAGGAGCCCATGGATGGGAATGCCCTCCCCTGTAGTGGGGACGCAGGCCACCAAGCCGCAGATTTTCAAGCTTCCATGAGGCCTTAGGATGTCGGAGGCCCCCTGCCACATGTAGATGACCAGATCCTCCCGCAGGTTATGGAAGGTGGCAGCCAGAACGCCCTTCCAATTTGGCAGGACGTGGTTCAACCGTTGGCATCCTCCATCTCCTTCCAGAGCCGGCCTGTCGTGCCTCTTGGTTGTACAGAAAACGTTTCATGGATCTCTGCTGTCTCGTCCAGTGTAATGGAGTTGCCTTAATACGGTGGAGTTTTAGGAATCTAGCGACTGAAGCTGAAATATACTAACTTGTATCTTTCACTTTTTCGTAATTTATGCAACAAAAATGCATCATTCTGTGTCCGCGTGTACATTTATCATGGTGATCGAATCAGTCTGCTTAATAGAATTCGTACCTTGCAGAGATCGGTATCCTGTACTGGCATCTCGATCCAAAAGACTATGAAAACAACGAGCAGCTAAATGAAATCAGAGAAAACAGGGGATATAATTACATGGTCTGTTCCGTCTATTACTGATACCCTCGCTCTCTCTCTCTCTCTCTCTCTCTCTCTCTCTGTTTTCTCTCCTTCCCTGTCTCTACGTCTCCTTTCTCTCAACCTCTCTCTCTCTCTCTCCCCGTCTCTTCTCTGTCTCCCTCTCTCTCTCTCCCCCCTATCTCTGTTTCTCTGTATCTCTCTCTCTCTCCCCCTGTCTCTGTTCTCTCTCTCTCTCTCTCTCCCCCTATTTCTGTTCTCTCTCCCTCTCTCTCTCTCTCTTTCTCTCTCTCTCTCTCTCTCTCTCTCTCTCTCTCTCTCTCTCTCTCTCTCCCCCTGTCTCTGTTCTCTATCCCTCTCTCGCTCTATTTTGACTGTGCAATATGAACATATAGTGGACCATCCACCTCTTTGTGAAAATGCTTCTCCTTCTGTGGTCGCAGGATCTGCTAGAGCTATGCCCAGGGAAAGTTGAGAACTACGAGGAGAAGCTGAATAACTTCTTCCGCGAGCACATACATGCCGACGAGGAGATCCGCTTCTGCCTGGAGGGCAGCGGTTACTTTGATGTTCGCGGCAAGGACGACCATTGGATCCGCATCTGGATTAAGGCGGGCGATATGATCGTCCTACCAGCCGGAATCTACCATCGCTTCACTTTAGACACCTCAAACTACGTCAAGGTACCAAGAACTAAACCTAAATTTCTTCTCTATTAGCCAGCATGGGTCTAATGGAAAATATTATAAATGAACGACGTAATCAAGTCAGACTGGGGGGTATCAACGGACTGCAATTGGTCTAGGGTTCTTCTAGTGTTTCAGGCTGGGGCATGTTGAGAAGCCCAGGCCCAACTGGGTCTACACTAAATATGTGTTTTGATTTGATTAATTACTATAGATTTATATATCTAAATATAAAAGTGAAGTTTTAAGAAAAATGACGACATTTAGTTTTACACAGTTGATGAGGCTGTTCATTGGGGAACCAGTGTGGACAGCATACAATCGGCCCCAGGAGGACCATCCAGCAAGGCGAGTGTACATCAAGAGCTTCTTGGAGAAGCCTCGTATTGCTCTTAAGGCAGTCTAGTTTGTATTATGCCAATCTGAATCAATAAAAATTATGTACGGAAATAACTGGCCCCCTCACTCATCAAAGAAAATTTGGGCTGTTATAACACTCCTCATGGTATTATTTTTTCTATCAACTAAAAAAAGAGGCTTGATCCTTAGAACTTTCACTTAAATTTTCATAAAGATTATAAATCTCATTAAGGGTTTTCTCTATAAAAGCTCCTCCACATATATAATCAATCATATTTCTATGTTGTTTTAAAAAAAAAAATTATATTGTAGTTGATAAGTCTTCATCATCTATAGTTACCTTATATTTATCAACCTTTAGTGCATCAAATTAATAGAAATAAAACATCTTACCATTTAATTCCTATCATTCATGCATGTGTAGAGATACTTTCTCTTGAATAAAATAATGTCTAGGACCTTCTTGAGAGAAGGTAATAGGTGGTTTGCCCTCACACGCACACATGTGTACGATGCTCCATGCTCCACGACCGATTGGCCCCCAAAATGTGGCAGGAAGTGATGCACACTTGTGTGAAGTGAGTCCTTAGCCACTCGAGCCTAACAACCCTATAGGTTAACTATTGAGTGTTGGCTTGCCAGCGGGGAACAATATATTTTTATTTTATCTTATGTTTAAAAATCAAAAATTATGTTGTCCTTAACTTCATGCTTCCAAAATTAATAATGTATTATTATATTTATTCTACAAGTTAACACACAAAAATAAAATAATAAAATAATTATAACATAAAAAATATAGCTTCAATAGAAATACATTCCACTTAATAATATGGTAGGTGTCTTCTAGTCATTTTGTCTTCTTCTTTTTTTTCTTATTTTGTTGTTGCCTCGCATTACTTTGTTGTAATGAATGCTTGAAGAGATAGATCAATTATTTGCCATCATGGAGGTGGGTGGGTATTTCCTAAAAACTACATCAGCTTTACACAAAGTGATAGCAGATCTATATTCGTCTAACAAGATTCAATAGATATTAACATTCATTGTATATTTAATTTTTTTTTGTAGATCAAAAATAGTTAGAAATCGATATTTTATGTTGTTATCCAATTATAAAGATTATTATCTCTCAAGTTCGTTTAAATGATAAATAAAGATTATTGTTGAACATTCATATAAATATTACTTACTAGAATGAACTTGAAGAATCTGAATTTCCAAACTACATGTTTGATGAGTAAAAGTATAATGTGTCCATTTCCAAAGTCTACTTATCCAGATTAGGTCATGTCTCGTACCATGGTAGCACAAAAGGTAAGCTCGGGGTCCATATTATTTGGGGTATTCTTCCATATACTGAATGCTTACGACTAAAAACGTTCCTTTCACAAGAGTGTCGCATGTAATCAATAAACTGTCATTCAAACACGAAAATGATGACGTCATCTGCTACCTGGTTTAGGCAAAAGGCGCGGGCCTGGGAATGATGACGTCATTCTACGTATCCCTGATACCAAGCATCCCGTTCTACGTACGGGAAGGGGTCGTCATTCACGTGTATGTAAAAAATGGTGATGGCTCCCCTCAAAATTGGTGGTCGTCATTTTACGTGGCACGCGAGCGGATAAGCTCGAAGATGGTGGGAGTGGGGGCCCACAATCTGTGCTCGGGAGCACCTCATCTTACCGCCCGACCCGGTCGACCGGTCACCTTTTTTCTCCTCCACTCCCCCACTTCATTGCCCTGTACCCTCCTGCCGTCGATCGGCTTCGCCGCTGTCCTGCCGCTGCTGCCCCCGCCGGCACCGAGAAGGCAGAAAGAGGAAGGTGAGCTTATGACGCTTTCCGCGCATCCTCTCCACCTCTAGGCTTCCTTTGCTTCTTTCCTTCTTCTTCTTCTTCTTCTCCTGGCTTTTATGCGGCCGGGCTAGGTCTGAAGGGCGACGCCTCCATTTCCGAGCGTCTCAGTCCTTGTGAGAAAAAAGGATGGAGGTCTGATTGACGCCACGAAGCACGCTGTCTTGGTGCGTCCTTAAAGACTTCTTTGATCGACATGGAATGTCGGGATAACTTGATCTGTTGATTGAAAATAAGGAAGATGAGATCAGTTTCTATGACATATTAACTGTAAAACGGATCTATGCAGACCTGTTGGTTTCTGCTCTTTTAATCTGTGTTAATCGTTCGCCATTCCGTTCCCTGCTCCTCGTGCAGGTGCAGATCATCATGATGCAAGGTGCGATCAAAGTGATCCGTTCCCGTGGGAACCTTCTCAGCCATGCTGTCCTGAGTCACATCCGTCTCTCCGTTACCAAATCTCCCGACCTCCTGCGCCCCGTCGGTCTGTTATCCCTGCGTTTCTTTGACTCGTCGGCGGCTACCAGCGGAGCTAAGCTGGAAGAGACTGGCTTCGAGAGCACCACCATCGCTGACATCCTTAAGGCAAAAGGGAAAGGGGCCGACGGCTCGTGGCTTTGGTGCACTACCGAGGACACTGTTTATGAGGCCGTCAAATCGGTAGCCTTTTCTTTTGTTTTATTATTTTTCGTCGAGATAATGAGAAGGAAGTTGCTGGTTTTCCCGGTCACTGGGAACCCTCCTCTGTCTCTGGTTAATCTATTGCCATTTCTCGTGTTTCTTGACGGTGATCTCAGATGACTCAGAACAACGTGGGAGCTCTGGTGGTTGTCAAACCAGGAGAGGTAAAATCTCTCGCGGGGATTATTACAGAGAGAGGTAATGATTTGGAAATACGAGTTATTTACACATATTCAGGGCCTTGACGTCTCTTATCTAGTTTTTGAAATATATCTGAACCTTATTTTGAGAGAAGAATCCTGGCTTTGTCGATGATTACCTCGAGGATTTAATTATGGAATCCCTCACGATGTTTTTTTTCTTCTATTGAGTCCTGTTTGTTAGATGATGATGCTGTTTTTTTAGATAGTAGCTTAGAGGTTACATAAGTGGGGACATCATCTTAGCTTGGGAAGAATGGGCATGAAATTTCGTAAGGATGAAGGAGATGCCCAGTTCTCAATGCACCTCTCAATGAAATTGCGCATTCCCCAGGTGATGAGGCATTCATGGAAGCTTAAAATGGGATAACACCTCTCAATGCATCGCGTTACCTTTTCTTTTTTAAAACAGACTAGACGGAATGTTTACATATGCTTCTTCTTTTTTTGTTAATAAATACCCAGTTCTTTTACGTGTAGAATGCATGCGAACACTTTGAGAATTTATTTTTAATGAGAAAAGCCGGTCGTGTTGCCAAGGAAATCGTATTTTTTTATTTTAGTATTTAATCTGTATTTTGGTGATTCGAACCCATGAAACTGGAAAAAAATCCTTCCAAGGCCTTTTAGCCTTCGTTTGTAAAGATTTTCAATAGTTAAAGGCTCCAGATATCTTTATTGATCAGTGTACCCCTCTATTCGTACCATCGTTGTTTCGGAACCTGCACGAATTTGCTGAAGAGTGGGCTATCCTTCTGTCGTGGACATGATGCGTTCTAATTTACTGTAACATTTTCATTCAGCCAGGGAATCAGATGGAGTGTGTAAAGTATAACTCGGTCAAAAAAGCGATATCTTCTGGGTGAAACGTCCTAATTGTTGTAGACATCGGAATTTTTGTCAGTGTCGCATGAAGCATTTTTAGTCAGAGTTGGGTGTCGACCCAGAAACTTACCTTGCAACTATTGCTACGACGAGAATTCTCATTCGAGCAGCATATCCTACACTCCTCTGTTTGTGGGCCGACATGTTTTACGCGGCTATAGCGCTGTGGTGAATACTGGTATCTCCATGTGATATATTGTTGTTACCTTCTGGCTGTTTGTACCGCTCTCGCGCAGCTTCACTCTCTAGGGTGTGTGGTACTTATTTCACAGCATCTCCCATTTTCTTCAATCCACGGAAGCCTAGTAAACCCTCTTCAATCCACTGAGCAGGAAGCTTGTAGATCTTTGGATGTCTGTTCTGTAGAACTAAAGCTGGGGTGAGAGGGGGCGGTGCACACAGATTCTGACGAGACAAGTATTTCGGCCTGCTTTTCTTCACGGCGTGAAAGAAGAAAAGATTGATATTTTTTTTTGGTTTAAGAAATTCTTGAGATACACATGGTATACATGCCTCATGACGAATTTGCTTTGTGTCTCTAGACTATCTGAGGAAGATCATCGTACAGGGAAGGTCGTCCAAGTCGACCAAGGTTGGGGACATCATGACTGAAGAGGTAATAGAGCAGCGATGGACCGGCCAGGGGATGGGTTTTCCTTTCTTTCCTTTTTTTTCTGGTCGGGGGCAGCTCCACGGGATAACGGGATTCTGATGGACCGGCATCTTTCTTTCTCTTCTCATCTTGCAGAACAAGCTCATTACTGTGACCCCGGACACCAAGGTTCTGCAGGCGATGCAGCTGATGACAGGTCGGCTAACGCCATCTCTACGTTGAAGCTCTCAGCAGATGATCGATCGAAAGGGGGCCCGCGGTGGCTCGCTGACCCTTGTTTCTGTGTGGGCAGACAAGCGTATCAGGCATATCCCGGTGGTCGACGGCGAGGGGATGGCGGGCATGGTCTCCATCGGCGACGTCGTCCGAGCCGTGGTGAGCGAGCACAGGGAGGAGCTGAACCGCCTCAACGCTTACATTCAAGGCGGCTACTAGACACCCCCCACCCCCACCCCGTGCCCTCCCCTCGCCTCCCCTCCGCAGTTGATGATGATGATGATGATGATGATGATGATGATGATGATGATGTCGAAAAAGGTGGCCCGACAACTCTCTTTTTTTCCTTTTTTTCTGTTGTTCTGGGGTTGTGGAGTTGTGCTCTCTGCCTGTACATATGGAGCCGTCGGCTCGGGCAAATAAGCCTTCGGTGGGCTTTCTCAGGCCCTGGACTACTGGATCTTATGGCGTGATGATGAAGGTTTTGATCAGAAGAACTGTCCTCCGCTGCCCACCCGAAGGCCGGCCCCCATGTTCTCTTCTTCTTTTTTTCTTTTTGATCTTCTCTATTCAGCGCCTCTCAGGGTGATGATGCTGCAGGCAGTAGGCAGTAGTAGAGCCTCTGAGAGATGAGGTGTAGACCGAGTCTTCGTAGGCACCTCTCTGGCTTCTAGCAAATGCTCATTCATCATCCAGTGATACTGATCACGGTTGGCTTGCTACAGGAAATATGAATCCCTTTGATCAAAGGTAATTACAGTAACACGCCCCAGAGATAAGAATTTCTGGGTGATGGGTATTTCTCGTTGGCGTCTTCACCGTCCCGTTGATGACCCCAGAGTGAAGAATCGGAACCGAGGAAAAAATCAATCATTCACAGAGCCGGCCGCCGCGAGGGCGGGGGCGGAAATGACGGTGAGAGAGGAAAGAAGGTGCCGTCGACACTACCGGGGGCGAGGCGAGGCGGCGCTGGTTCACTGCGGCTGGAGGCGGTTAGCGCCGAGCAGCCAGGAGTTCCTGAGCTGGGCGGCGGCCGTCTCCCCGAAGCACTTGGCCCTCGCCAGGCAGAAGTGCGTGCAGAATCCTGACGGGGAGGGGACGCGGCAGGTGTTGAGGATGTAGCAGGCGGCGCAGTCGACGCCCCGCCCCTGCACGAGCAGGCCCCACGTCTTCGAGGAAGAAGAGGAGCCGGCGGTGCCGCCCTCGTCGGAGGAGACGGCGGGCTCCTCCTCCTCCTCGCTCTTCAGCTCCTCCACGAGGATCACGCCGTCGGGAGGAGACGCCGCCCCGGTGTTCCACCTCTTCTGGATCCGGGGCCAGCTCTGCGCGTCCGCCGCGTCCCTCTGGAGCCGCAGCGCGGAAGATCCCCCGCTGTTGGCGAAGACGTGGACCAGGAATGGGGCCTCCCCGATGTTCCTCACGATCTGCATATTAGAGGTTTTCAGAACGCATCATCCTTGTCAAAAGGAACGGAGCAGATTCTACCGGTGGAGACATATCGTTCGGCGCGACAAAAGGTTTGGAGATCAAGGCGGGGGCACCTACCTCGAGGACAGACTCATGCACCCACTCGTCCAGCTTCTCGGCCGGCACGGGATCGCCCCTTGCAGCCGCGCCGCCGCCGGCCAACAGCTGCCTTTCGATCCCCCTCGCCGGGTGGTCGGCATCGTCGACGAGTCTGCGGCCGGAACGTTGTTCCCCGGAGAAGAAGCCGCCGCCGGTGAGATTCACAGCTCTCATGGCGGCAGGGAGCTCCACGGACGCGAAGGCGGCGGCGGCCCCATTAGCGCACACCGGTCTTCTACTCGCCGCCGAGCAACAAGACCGAGGACGCAAGAGGGGCTTGTTTCCACCGCAGCGGACCGCAAAGTAGGAGGAGGGGGCGGAGGAGGAGGACGCCATGCGTTAGAAACAGGAGCACCGAGCCTATCTATCAATCTGCAGTGGGATGATGAACGATGACCGCCGCGGGGAGAGCACCGTCTTCCCCGCCGCCGCCTATCCCTGGAAACACCCCGGTCCGCTATTAATGGGAGAGGGAAGAAGGAGAGTTGTTCCTCCGACGACCCTCTTCTTCTCCGGTGAGGCTCGTCGGCGCAGTCGAGGGCCGAGGAGATCGCGGAGAGGAGAGGGGAGAAGAGAAGGGAGTTGGGGGGGGGGGGATAGGTAGTTGCAGGGGGAGGTCGGCAGCGGCACGCCACAAAGGGAATACGAGGCGTGGCCGGATCCAGCGCGACTTGCGGACGTACAAGATTCCTATGTGGCCTCACCGACACCGTCGGATCGGCAGATGGAGCCGACGTGGGGGAGCACGTTTTAATAGCACGTTGCCCGCCCTCCAGCACGTTCCCTCACGAGTTTGCCTTGCTCCCGCGCCGTGCCCCGCTGAAGGCCTCCGCGCCACGTCGGCTGGCACACCGCCACGTGGAAATAAATGCTTATCCGCACGGCGTACACGACGGACGATGGGCCACGCTGGCCGAGGAAATATTTGGCCGAGTCGTGCTTTTCCGCCGTGTGCCGACCACCGCCGACCGCCGCCATGGTCTGCTGACCAAGTCGGACCGGGTGCGCGTTGACCGCGGGAAGTGGAGCCGACGGCGAAACTCCTCCTCAGTGAAAGTCTTCTTGCCGGGGTTACAGGCCGCGGGAAGATTCAACCCTTGGCGGCGCCGAAGAAGATGAAGGCCGGGAGGGAGGGAGGGTCTTCGGATCTGAAATTGAAATTTATGTACTTCAGGAATAATAAATAAATAAATAAATAAAGGTGTAAAAAGTTTTTTGAATGATGTAGCCTAAAAGAAGTGGGTCACCGTCATGAGAGATTGAGGAAGGGATAAATTAAAAAGATAAATACGAAAAAAAATTCTTAAGAGGCCAAAATAAAGAAAGAAATAATCGCGTGAATAAATAACTAAATCATTAGAGCTGTAATTATTTTCTGGTGATTGTGTTTGCTATTTGGTGTAATCTGTCTCATTATTTTTCTCTTCCAAGAGAAGAGATGCCGGAGATGAACTGAATGTATTCAAAGGTTAACATACGGCAACTCCAAGGTAGAAGATGAATTTCTTTTTAATATGATTGTTTGGTTTTGCTTCTTTTTTTTAAGAAAAGAAGAAGAAGAAGAAGAAGAAGAAGAAGAAGAAGAAGAAGAAACAGAGAGCTGTAAAAAATAATCGTGCGCGTGCTCTAAAGATTTAAATTGTTGGTGGTTTCATACTCTTAAAGAGGATTGGAGCATCGTTCGTCGGTCGATTCGAATCAACCTCGGGTATGTAGATTTAAAGAAGAAGTTAGATTACCAAAGATCCCCTGAGCAATATCTATCTATATCATTGGCAGTGTCTTTGGCTTCGACGACTGGGAGAAAGACCCGATTCTTCTTCTTCTTCTTCTTCTTCTACTACTACTACTGCTCCATTCTCCAATCATCTTCCGCAAGACCCCTCAGCTCAAGCCCATCCACGTAGATGCAGATGGGTGTTTTCGGCATTTCGCTTGCGCTCCCCACTTCCGCTTCGCTCCCCCTTGCCCCAAATGGATGGATGGATGGATGAATGGATGGATAGGCCGACTGATACACCTCCTCTCGGCAGCGTCGCCACCGCTCTCCCCATCCATCCCCCCACCCCAACCTACCTACGATGGCGGCAGTCTCCCCCGCGGCCGCCTGTTCCGCCGTTTCTTCGAGGGTGGCCTCTCTCCCTTCTTCCTCTCCCCCCTCCAAGTCCCTCCTCTCTCTCCGGTCCCTTTTCGTCTCCCTCCCCACCCAACACCTCCGCCTGCGGCGCCGGCCGCTAGGAAGAGGAGGATATGATGTCACCGGCGGCGCGGCGCCCCGCGGGGCCTCCGTGGTGTCCATGAGCCTGGAGGCTGGCATCGGCGTGATGGGCACGAAGCTTGGGATGATGACCTACTTTGAGCCCGAGGGCGCGGCCGTTCCCGTCACCGTCGTCGGCTTCCGTGAGGGCAACATCGTGACCCAGGTTAAGACGACGGCCACCGACGGGTACGAGGCCGTCCAGCTAGGTTACCGGCGCGTGCGGGACAAGAAGCTCACCAAGCCCGAGCTCGGCCACCTGGAGAAGGCCGGAGCCATCCCCATGAGGCATCTCCAGGAGTTCCGGCTCCAGTCCGTGGATGGGTTCGAGCCGGGGCAGCGGCTGGATCTGGAGGAGATCTTCAAAGAGGGTGACCTGGTTGACGTTTCCGGTACCTCCATTGGCAAGGGATTCCAAGGTAATCAACCTTACATTGCACTTGTCTCCTTCACGGGATTTATTTTCCCCGAATCTCTCTTGTCTGTCACCTTCACTGCATTTTCGACGGTTTACTCGAGCTTCTTCAATCGATTGGATTTTAATGGCATTAGAACCTTTGCTCCTTCATGGATGGGGGGTGGGTTGTTCCCATTGATGGATGAGATCAGATTTCAACACAATGAGAGGTAACAGAAATGTGGGCGGATTTCGACTGTTACAGTGATTTCAGTGGTTCTTGTCGCTAATTTTTGCTTTTGATAAAGAAGTTGGGATTCTTGGTGGGTTCTAAGGGCATCTGTCTGTATCAATCCCTTGTTTTCCTGATCTATCCGGCCGGAAAAGTAACAGAATGGTAGGGGCGTTGCCGACGGAAGGCCACCATTTGCGCAAATTCAGTGGACTCCCTTGTCATTACTGATATGGTGTGCCCATAGGTGGGTAGTTTAATCTCTTTGCTTCCAATACTGTGCTGCCATTTTCGACCTGGTGGCTCCATCCATGGTGCGTTGTGACCTTGTTAGGTTGGGGGGACAAAATAAATGAGTCCAGATCCTTTGTGGGTAGAGTAGGGTAGGGCAGGGCAGGGCAGGGCAGGGTAAGGTAGTAGTTTGGATCTTTTTTCCATCTGCCTGATCAGATCTCTGTGACCAAATCTGTGGAACACGCGTGGCTTTCACGGATCATTCCGGCTGAGGGATCATCCCTGTTCTCTCTAGAATGGCATGCGCATCCCCTGTTCTCAACCTCTCTTGTGCATTAATTAATTAATGAGAACAGTCCCGTGTTAAGAAGGTTATTAAGGAACCGGTGAACTGATGACGAAAGAAGCTGCCTTCTCTCGCGGGGGGGATATTCAGAGATGGGGAGCTTGTCCAGGGGATGGATGGATGGGGTCATCCTTGGCCTTGGCCTTCCTTCTTGATGCCCTGGATGGGGTCAACCTTCACAAGCCCCCCCCTCTTCTTATCTTGAGGAAGCGTCGCCTGAAGGTGTTTGTGGCAACACCATCCTCATCGTCCCCAAGGACGATGCGTACCTTATTTTGCAGGAGTGGGTGGGGGGAGGAAGCTTTTCTTTGAGACTCTTTCCCCGACGCTGATGGCGACGATGATGCGAAAAGATTTGATATTTTTTTCTTGTTTTGTTTTCCGGGTGTCTGAAATGGTGCGCGCTGGTGGTGGCTGTGGATCACAGGTGGGATCAAGAGGCACAACTTCAAGCGGGGACCGATGACCCACGGGTCGAAGAGCCACCGGGCGCTGGGCTCGATCGGGGCCGGCACCACCCCGGGGCGCGTGTACAAGGGGAAGAAGATGCCCGGGCGGATGGGAGGGACCAAGACCAAGATCCGGAAGCTGAAGATCGTCAAGATCGACAGCGACCTCCGGGTGCTGATAATCAAGGGCGCTGTCCCCGGCAAGCCTGGGAACCTCCTCCGCATCGCCCCCGCCAAGATCGTCGGCGTCAACATCCCCAAGAACTAGCTTCACTGACTTCCTTCCGAGACCACCCCCCCGAGCGAGCTCTCCCCCCCCCCCCTCCTCCCTCTCTCTCTCTCTCTCTCTCTCTCTCTCTCTCTCTCTCTCTCATCCCATGTCTCTACATTTATTCTGCTCCCTTTCTTTTAATCTTTTTTCCTCTTCCCCTGTTCGACCGACGTCTGCAGCTTGAATACTCTGTATTGCTTCGGTGTGATGAACGGGGTAGCGAGTAAGCAGCGATAGATATGACGCTTCCAGCCGAATGTGTGAAAAATAATACAGGATCAGTTCTTATCATGCGGACGGATGAGGGAGTTGGTAGCAGGCGCCGAGGGCGGCGGTGGAGGAAGAAGAGGAAGCCGACGGGCGCCGGTAGGTCGCGCGAGCGGGTCCACCAGGGATAAGAGGGTGTTGACGGGAGTCGGTGTCGACCCCTCCGCAGGGGAAGGATAGCCGAAAACCAGGGAGAAGAGGGGCGGGGGCCTCTGTGACGAAGCACGGGGGTCGGTAGTTTTCGCCCAATGGCCACGTCATTCGGCAACCCACTGACCCCCGGCGCTGCGGGCCTCCTACACCAACATTCGACCCCGGGGAAGAGGATTTGATTCTGCGGGCACAATGGTGGAGGAAGAAGAAGACGGTGATTATTACGGGGGGTGGGTCTTTCCCTCGAACAGCGAGTGTTCTTACGGCAGGGGGGAAGATGTATATACGTGCGCTCCGAGTTTTGACGCTGAAGAAGATGAAGATGAAGACGGAGATGGAGATGAAGATGATGTGTTTTTTTCCACCGAGAGTGGGTAAACCGGTCAGCTAGCTGCTCGAGCCGCACGCGTAAGCCCCCAGCACGCGGACGAATCCGCACGTCTCCCGGAGCCGGTCGACGGCCGAGTCGAGGCCCGAGTCGCCGCCCGCGGGCTCGTCATCCTCCACGTCCAAGATGAAGACGTAGTCGAAGAAGACCGCCGGCGCTCCGGCCCGCTCTGCCGACCGGAGAGGGCTCGAGCGGTTCGGCCGGTGGTCGACCCGGGTAACCGTCAGCCCGTGGCTCTCGAAGGCCCGCATGGCCCGGTGCAGAGCTGACGGGCCCTCCTCCAGAGAGAAGGCCACCGTGGCCTTCCTCCGGCCAGCGGCGGCGGGGTGGCGGTCTCCCTGCGACCTGAGCGCCAACTGGAGAAAGCGGGTGTAGTTGCCGCCACCGAGAAAAGTCCGGCCCTGCAGGTTCTCCTCCGCGACAGCCAGGCCGAACTCCTGGGCGGCAAAGCGGCTACCGATGACCGCCGTGCCAGGGTCGACCCCTCCTTCGGCCAGGGCTCGGGCGGCGTCGGCGGCGTTGACCACGCCCATCGCCTCCAGGCCCAGATCCGCGATGCGACCGCGGCAGTGGGCGAGGGCTTGGGGGTGGCTGGCGACGCCGTTGAGGGCGGCGAGCGGGGTGCCGGGAAGGACGAGGAGGCAGTGGTTGACGGGGAGGACGAGCTCGCCGGTGACCTCCACGCGGGGGTGGCGGAGGAGGAGGTCGAGGTTGCGGTGGATGGGCCCGTCTAGGGAGTTCTCAGCCGGGACGACGGCGCGGTCGGCGTCGCCGTCCTCGAGGGCGACGAAGGCGTCCTCCATTTTGGTGCAGGGGAAGGCGGCGAGGCGGGTGGTGGGGACGCCGGAAAAGGACGCGGCGGCGGCCTCCTGGCAGTAGGAGCCGCGGACGCCCTGGTAGACCACCCGGAGAGGGCGGCCCCTGGACGGTTCGACGCATGGCGGGGAGCCGCTGGGCCCTCCGGATAAGGGGACGGGGGCCAGGGGGGAGTGCGAGGGCGATGAGAAGAGGCGCTCCAACTCCGCCACAGTCGGGTCGAGGGCGAGGGAAGAGGAGGAAGCTGGGGCAATAGCGGCAGTGGATCTCTCCCTCCTCTTATTACTACTCTTCCAGTTACCAGCTTTAATGGATGGGGATCGGCCGGTGCTCTTCGGGGTGATGTTATTCAGGACGCAGGAACGGGAGGAAGCGGCAGAGGACGCAGCAGCAGCAGCAGAGTCGCCGTCGATCGCGGCGCCTCGGCCTGAGAGGAGATACGGAACTCTGTGGCCCGCCGCTGCCATGGGTGGTGCCTCACACGAGCGATCTGCCACACCGGTGGTGGTCGTCCGCCGAGGAGATCTTCGTCGGGGTGGAGGCCGGGACTCCTTTCAGTCTTCACCTCGGAGATGGAGAGGATCCCTGAGATACGGTCGCCGAGAAGAGCGCATATTTATCTAGAGGAAGGACGACGGGGCGGGGGGGCAGTCGGGGCTGCGGTAGATGCGGGGCAGGGGCACAGGTCAACTCCGACGACAGGGACGGAGGGGATGGAAGGCTGGCTCTGCTCTCATCATGAGATCTTCCACAGGTCAACGTCCCCATGGAGTTCAGATCCGACGACATAAATTAGTCTCGACGAACCGTTTGACCCAATCTGGCGTATCTTGTTGAAAGTCAAAGAATAAATCGGGTTCTGGGGCAATTGAGTCTGGAAACTTCAAATCATTAAATCTTTAAAAGGATTAATGGGATGATATTTGAATCCACGAGAGGCACTTGAATTTATAAACAAGTAAGGAGAAAAAAATATATATTAAAAAATAAAGATCGTTCTAGCTCGGAATATCTTTGAACCTCGGTTGAGCTAAGAGTGGATCCGTTTCTAGTAATAGTTTAGAATATATTCAAAGCCCTTTAAGACCGTCTCATAAAATGATGCGTTCAAATGGCATTTAAGAAAAAAACAAACAATCTTTAAAAATCAAGAGAATTAACTCAGAATATCTTTTTGAGATTACACCGTGCAGGCTTTTAAATGGTTCGGATCTCGGTTGAGTTACAAGCGGATCTGTTCTAATAATAATACTTTTAAGATGCATTTAAAGCACTTTTAAACCACCCTTATAATAATACATTAAAAGGACAAACAGAAATTAAGGACATTAATTTCAAATAGAATTAAAGAATTAAATTTAATTTAACTAATCTCTTATGCATTAAACACATTTTATTATGGGCCTAATCTGATATTGGAGGGCATTAATACCACCCCCTTCCCCGAGCGAGCGGGGGTATTTTTGTTTTCACTACGATACTCTGCATAGGCGTTACAAATTTCATTGATAGATATTCTGAGAATTAGAGGGGTCTAGCCAACGATGCCACCCGAAGAGGAAGGCAGGCTTTGTAGAGAGAGAGAGAGAGAGAGAGAGTCAGCCTTCCCCCTTTCATAGTGGGCCGGACCAGACTTCAGGCTCCCAATTTTTAAAAGAAGATTGTTGAGCACCTCGATTAATGGGCTCTTCGCCTCGATCTGAATCCTTCTTCTGAGGGGGCCAGAAAGAGATCCCAAATCATATGCTAGCCATATTAGCCCATTCGTCACGAAATATGTAGACGGTAAGAAGCGCTGCCTCTCTGGTCCCGCTTCTCTGCTTCATTCTTTCAAACAGATGGCGGGCGAGGATGCGCTCCCCGTCTTCTCTTTGAGCTCGCTCGGATTTGGCTTCTCCAGCGCATCCTCGCCGCCTCCTCCACCCCCGCCTCCCTGCGTCGAGGTCCTTCCCTCGGAGGTAACCCCCTCCCCTCCTCTCCCCTCCCCGCTCCATCCTCCGAAGAAACGCTGTCGCCTCTCATGGTCGATGCTCATCAGCAGGTCTCGGCGTCTCTCAGTTCGCCCCTGGAATCCATCCCCATCAACGACAAGCTTTCTCTGCTCAAGGTGAGGTTCCATCTACCTGCCCGTCTTTCTGCGCAGGTTTATGCTTCCGGCGGATTGGGTTGATCCCCGCGATGCCTCTGCTTGGTCTACCGCAACGCAGGGGAGAGTCAACACCGGCGACGTCTTCGCCATGCCCAACTCCGACCTGGTACCTGGGAAATACGAAGGTTCCTTCCTCCGTCTCCTCGTACCCTTTCTATGCTTGGTCCCGCCGAAGGCTGACGGGTCAGTCTTCGCTGCCTGTGCTTCAGGGGGGCTCAAACTGTGGGAGGGATCGGTCGATCTCGTCAATAGCTTATGCTCGGAGGTTCAAGGAGGCCGGCTGTCGCTGCTCGGAAAGCGGGTACTAGAGGTCTGCATCTTCCCTGAACTTCTCGAATGCCCATTTGAATGCTCTTAGATTCCAGTAAACTCCCCTCCCCCATCCTCTTCTGAACCAGTCCAACCGATCTATAATCAGAATCTTATTCACCTGAAAAAATTTATGCCCATTCCAAATTCCAGGCCTCTCGGAGTACCCATGAATCTTATTTACCTGGTTCATCACTGGCCTACAATGAAGTTGTTTACTTGCCCATTTTAATGAGGCTCTGCTTACTGCATTGGTGATGTGTGGGGTTTCTGAACCCTGTGGCGAAGAGCCACACAGAGCCAGAGAGATGAGGGTGACGGCGTCTGTGACCTTGAGGTCAGCTTGCAGACCTGGTGAAGTTCTAAACAAAGCCCCAAACATGGGCTTGATGACAAACACTGGGCTACAAGAAAGTTTGATGCTTAGTTTCTGGATCAGATGGGATAGAAGCGTCAAGGTAAGGCTTTGACTTTATGAAAGAAGACTGGGTTGGGGTAGGTGTGGGCCGGGTGGGAGAATTGGATCCTGTTGTATTCATCTGATTCAATCCAGCTTCGTTTTCTACTGGTGCGCATCAAGAACCGACCGTTGAATTGAACTTCGCACATCTCGTTGGTTTGATGAAGAGATGGATGAATGAATGAGAGAGAATGCTTGAATCTTGCAGCTGGGATGCGGCCACGGTCTTCCCGGAGTCTATGCATGCCTCGAGGTGAGCGCCTCTTTCTCTGCGGTTGAGATCTGTCTTCGTCTCCCTCCGGTGTGCTAGAAAGTTCTTGAAGACCGTCGTTGACTACTCCTCTGCTCTGCAGGGCGCCGCCGCCGTGGACTTCCAGGACTTCAATGCTGAGGTCCTCCGATGCCTCACCATCCGTAACGTAGAGCATAACCTAAGGAAAGGACGGCCTCGGCTTCCAGAGGGGAATCCCCAGAATGAAGGAGCTCAGCAGGTCCGCTTCTTTGCCGGCGACTGGAGAGAGGTTCATCGCCTGCTGCTCCGGCGGGCCGATGATGGCGGCGGTCGTCATCTTCCCGGCGAAGCCAGCTCGGAGGAGCACGGGTCGTTGTCATCATCTTCTTCTTCTCGCTGCTACCATGTGATTTTGATGGCGGAGACGATGTACTCGCTGTCCTCCCTCGGGAATCTCTACGATGTGATCAAGAAGGTCCGTCGTTGACCTTCGGTTGGTGATGCTCTATATTTGTTTTCATTTCTCGCGAACTCATCTGTATTCTGCATAAACGCAGTGCCTGCGCCGCCAGACGGGTGTCGTCTACATGGCCGGGAAGAAGCACTACTTCGGGGTTGGCGGCGGGACTCGGCAGTTCCTCCGTTTGATCGACGAGGACGGTAATCCTGCGATGCTCTCGTCCTTGGTCACCGTTGAATTGACATGACGCGGAGCGGCTTGACTTTCGCAGGTGTGATGGAGGGATCGCTGCTCGCCGAGATCGCCGACGGTTCGTCGAACGTGCGCGAGGTGTGGAAAATCTCCTTCAAGTCGCCGGCTTGACGCTCTCGGCCGTCGGCGGTGAGTCATCTCTCTCTCTCTCTCTCTCGCTCGCTCGCTCTCTTCTGCTCTTAGTCCAAGAACAGGGATCTTACTGCTTGTGTCCTGTGTGGACGGTTCGTGCCGCTTCGTCATCCATCATGGTGCTAAGAGACGTGGCTGCTGATCGGTGGGACTAACGGAAAGTGCCCCGGTTAGAGCTCTCGCACCACGAGGAGCGGGAGAGAGAGAGAGCACGGAAAAGTTGTAGAGGATCGAATGGGCAGCCGAGAGAGAGAGAGAGTGGGCCGGCTTTTCTCACACTCAAGACGACGCTTTTTCTGCTTTACCGAAAGCACAGAAAGAGAGAGGAAGAGAGAGGTGGTCGGAATCTCTCTCTCTCCCTTCCCGGTCATGGCGGTGGCGGCCCCCCCGCTTTCATCTTCTCTCCCTCGTCCAATTCTCACTTGAACCCCCTCCCCGCCGACCCCGTTCAAACTTCAACAGCCCCCCTTCTCCTAAAGCCCTCTCTCTCTCCTCTCTCTAGATTATATATATACAGATGGATGACAATTGTATCGTCCGTCCCCAGAGATCAAGTCTTGCGGCGAAGAGGACCTGCCGACCACGAAGCGGCCGTCCCTCTTTCACTCCCTCTCCCACCGGCCCCCTGCGATGGCGGGCCTCCGCCTCGCCGGGCCGTCTGTCTTCCTCCGCCGGGACTTGTCGTCCTCCGTGTTCGACAACGGGTTCATCGAGAAGCGGCAGCTATTCCTCCGCAGCTACCAGTTCACCCGCAAGCGCTCCTCCGCCGCCAGGATCGGTGACTCCGTTCTCCGCGCGCGTCGCCTCGTCTGGGTCAAGCTCCGCGCCGTCCGCCGCTTTCTCTGGCTCCATCTCCGCCGCCTCTTCACCGCCGGCTGCCGCCGCCACCGGCGTTTCCACCGCATGCACACGCCGCCCCCCCGGTCCCGCTCCGCCGCCGCCTCCTCCATCTGGAGGCTACGGTGCTGTCCCTGAACCGCCGGCGGAGGCTATCGGCTCCCAGCGAGGACCGGCCAGACCGGACCACCCCTCCCTTCTCCGACGCCCCCTCTCCTCCGGGGCCGCCGTGATGGTTCGGAGTGGAATCGAACCAGGGCCGTCGCGTCGTCTTCCACATCTTTGTTCCCAGTAGAAACTTGTTATCTTTCTTCTATCTTACGACAGAACACGACAAGTTGTTAGATCCCGCCTTCGCCACCAATATACATCGGGACGTCGTTGGGCGCCGCCAACGTGGAATAGGGCGAGTCAAACGACTCGCGGGGGTCATGGAGTTGACTGGGCCGACAACGGCGGATGATCTAGCGGGCCTCCCCGGCCCACGTTCTGTCCAAGTCGGGACCGTTCACACGCCGGAGGTGGTGCAGTTTGGGAACCGAGGACAGCTTCTCCCTCAACTGGTCCATTTAAGGCTCGCCCATTAAAGCTCTCTCGCTCTCTCGCTCTCTCTCTCTCTCGCTCTCTCGCTCTCTAGAGGCTCGGAGTGGCACTGGTTTGAGAGAGAATCTTTGTTAGCCGGAGGGAGAGAACAAGGGGTGGGCCACTCCAGTAAATCGGTCACTTAATGCGAGCCCTCTATTTCGGGGACGTGTCCCATGGCCCGATGTGAACCCCCAAGTAACTTTAGGACAGTAGCCCATCTCTCTCTCTCTCTCTCTCTAAGGAGGAAGGTGGGGGGAACCGTCATGCACAAACCCACATTGGGCTTCGAACGAAGAGGACCGTCTGCGCGCTGGATATGATTCTTTTTTCTTTGCACGACAAATCGGAGTCCTTTCTTCTACAGAAGCCCCCCGGAATCTCCGCTGGTGAGCTTAAAAACACGCCACTCTCTCTCTCTACCTGGCCGCTTGGTTGGCTCCGACGTCGGCTCGTCACCGCCCCACGGTTCAACGGGGTTTCCTCGCCAGCGAAGACGCTGGCGGCTCTGCTCGAGGGCTCGGAGAAGCCCAGCAGTTCATCGCCGCGGTCTCTGTCGGGGCCGCCAGCCAACGGTCGGAAGGGAGCTTGCGGAGAGTGTATAGAAAAACGGATTAACTCGGTGGTCAATGATTGCACATGCGAACACGCAGCTGCAATAATCGTATCGTTGAGGACCTCATGAGAGGTTCCAAGACGTAGCTTTGTAAATATTCTCTGTCTCTCCCTCATCTGTCTTCTTGCGTTTAAGAGAGGGAGAGAGGGTGATGTTGGCCATGTGGGGAAAGGAATCCTAATGTAGGAGGTTCGTCTTATTCCAATTGTTTCTTAAGGTCGATTTCCTGGTACTAACACTGGGTTTGGTCTACCGCTTCGCTGGTGGCCGCCTATAAATGTGAGGTCCTCCGAACCCTTCTTCTCCCACCCAGAGTCTCATCATCATCATCATCGTCGTCGGTGACGGCTTCTTTCTTCCCCGGGGATCGGCTGCTGGTCATGGGGTTCGTCTTCAAGACGCTCTTCGTGATAGGTCTGCAGGGGACGGTGCGAGGAGGCACGAGATGTCGCTACCAGCGGCTCCGCGGCGGCGGCGAGAAAGCGATGAAGATGCGGAGGAAGACCGATGGCCGGCAGCCGCCCTTCCACAGGAGACTGAATCGGAGGGGATTTTCTCTCATCTTGCTCCTCAAGAGGCTATCCAACCTCTATTCGCAGATGGTCGCCGCCATCACATCCTTGGACGGAGTCCATCCCACCATCGTCTTCTCCTCCCAGTGGGGACTACCAGTTCTCTCTCACCACCCGTCTTCCGCCTCTTGCCGGAGGAGTGCAGTCAGTGCTCTTCACAGGAGCCTATCTTTCTCATGAACCGCAACTCCTACTGCGTGTAGTTCATCCAGAGAGCATTAGGCAGATATTATATAGTAGAAGATGAAATGGCTCTTAGGATATCTGATTCTAGACAAGAGGAGAGAGTCCTCCAGCATTTCCGCGGGGGCCGCCTGCGGCGATCCCCTCGCATCACGGCAGCCACCATCGCCGCTTACCAGGAGGCTCTAATCCGAGCCCGGAACCAGTGGAGTACAGCGGGCGCCGATCCGAGGACGTCCGTGACTGACTGGTTCATCGTGAACAGTCGTTCGACGAGGACAGATCGTTCGGCGAGGGGGGGGGACATCTTAAACTGTGGGCAGATCAACAGTCGCCGAGTCGTGGGAGCCATAGCTTCCAAAGCCTAGCGAATATCACTGTTGAAATGGCGAGGAGGACCAGGTGGTCGCCCCCAAACATTCCTTCTCTCCCTCCGTATTCACGGTCTTACTGTGATCAGTATCGGTATTAGTCCATCGCGGTTCCTTACAGCAGAAGAGATGGGCTTTTCAAGCTTGAGGAGGAGCAGGAGGAGGAGAAAGTAGCAGGATAAGGAGACGAAGGGGAAACCATATGTTTAATACGTATCTATATATATACATATCTATCTTGATTTACATGAAAAATGGGGTTGCCATTGGTTCTGCATCGTGGGGGAGCTTAGAATCTGCTCAAACCCACCATGGCCGGTTTGGAAGCGAAATCGTTCATGAAGCGCACGTAGATGCTCAGTATGCCGGAGGATCGATGTTTCGTCAGCGAGGTGGATATGCCAGCAGTCCAGCGCCTCCTCTCAGCGGCACTGGCATTCTTGGCGGTCTTGGCGGTCTCCGACGGTCTGACCTCCTCTTCGTCGTCGCCGGAGAATATCTCTGGGTCCTCTTCAATGATGGGAGCGAGACCGCTCCGGAGTATCTCCTCGATGCCCTTGAGCGACTCTGTCCGCAGGCTATTGTGCCCGCCGCACGACAGGACCCAGAGGATGCTGTTCATCTTCTTCATCTTCTTCCTGCCCGAGCTAGAGAGAGAGAGAGAGGGAAGAACGCCGGCGTCTCTCTGGCTGAGGGGAAACCGAGTAGCACTTCTTATCGCAGCGCCGCCGGTGAGCGAGGGTGAGAGGGCGGTGTGGGCTTGGGGCGACCCTGCAGCGGTGCCGGCTTCAACGAAGGAGACGGTCAGCTCGGTATCTTATATAAGCATCCCATCCTCTGCGACCTCCAACCAACGCGGTGAAGTTGGCAGGGGTGCAGGAAGAGCTGTTCAAATTTCTTCATCCGCTCTCTCTCTCTCTACATCTCTCTACGTCTGTCTCTCTCTCTCTCGCTCTACATCTCTCTACATCCCTCCGGGAAGAGCTGGGTTGGTGACGATGATGCGGGGAAGAATGATTTGGCGGCCTGGACAGGAATCGGTCTAATCCGCGGCGACTCAGCGAGGGGACGCCACGTGCTCTCCTGAACCCACGTCTCTCCTCCTCTCATTTCCCGTCATCTAAACTGTAGTTATTTTTTTATTCAGACTAACCCAAGGTAGAAGCTATTTATTGAAATAATATTCAAAATATTTCTGAACCGATTATTATGTTAATTATTACTTTGACGAGAGAGAAAGAGAGCACCGACGCCAAAATACCCCACCGATGGCAGTTAAATTAGTTAGTTAGTTATTTAATTACACCTCGCCCCCTGGGTTTTTTATAATCTCGAAGACAACCTACAAACGTCGGATTCCGATAAACCCGGTCCGCAATGAATCCGATACGAGAGTAGACCGTCAGGTGCCGCCACGTCTATACGGAACCCAATCGAGGGCTGCCACGTTCCGTGATGAACGTGGCACTTGTGGGCCCATCGAATCAGGTCATTCTCCAGCGCGTTGCGTACACGTCATCACGACTCTCTCTCTCTCTCTCTCTCTCTACCTCTCTCTCATGGCCCTGAAGCCCTGAAACTCGCACCTCTCTCTTCTCTCTCTCCCCCCTCCCTGAGAGTATGATCTCCCCGCAGGGTGCTTTCGCTTTCCGGCCCCTTTCCCAGAATCGGAGGCGTTGCTCCTCCGGCGATCGCCTCCGAAGAGAAGATATCCCCTCGGAGGCCTGATTCCGTCCGGATCGCCGACGATTTCTCGTTTCGTCCTCTCCTTTTTTCCCATTCCGATCGTCGTTCGGCAGTTTTATGTCTGGCTGGGGCTCGGGCTCGTTTCAAAGGCAAGAAATTGTTGGGGGAGATGGAGAGGGAAGCTCCGGCGGTAGGCAGGCGGCTGAGGGTGAGAAGTTTGATAGAACTGCGACGGCCACAGAGGGGGCGTGTGAGAAAACAAAGTCGTCGCGACAGCATGGGAGCGGGGATGGAGGAGAGGGAGGGCAGACGAAGGGGAGATGGTACGGAGGGAAGCTCCGCAAGGCGAAGGACCTGTTTGTCCTTCCTTTCAGGAAGGCCAAGAAGTTCTACGCAAGGAGGTACATGGGCGCTCACTTCTATTACGGAGACGATCCTGGCGGGTGTTGCTACAGCTGCTTATGGCCGCCTCCGACAATTTCTCCTCCGCGGATGACGAATCTCAACAATTCCGGCTTCCGAAATCCGAGACCTTCTTCTTACGAGTTCGTCAAATTTTTGATCGAAAACAACGATTTCTATTCTCCTCAGTGCAATGTCCATAGAGGCACATAGCGGGGGAGTGGGAGTGGAGGTGTTCAGTACTCCCCTGTTCCGAGGAGACGAGGAGTTTTCTCATTGCGGTGACTTGATTGGCATTCCCTTTTCTCTGGTTTCATGTTTTGATACTTTCTGTCCGCCTTCCGTGGCGTCTCTCCGAAACTGCGCAGGACGACACTCTGCTGTAGAATTCATCAGGGCCTGCTTTTGATCTGCCTTGTCGGAAGAAGTCCAACCTTGGCATTTCCTTTTTTCTGTTTTCACGTTTTTTGTCCATGCGTCTTCTACGATTTTCAAATTTTTGTGCCTTCCGAGGAAGGTGAGCACTGGGCATCTCTTGATGATTGATTAAGCAACAGCGTTGTGCAACAACAAGATAGAGGTTTGATGTTCATGGAAGACGTTTCGAGATTGCTCTTTACATCTCTCGTTCAATTGATGATTACAGCGGAACGATAATCAGATAAATGATTTCCCTTGTATTCCTTCATTCATTTTTTTCTTTCACCTGAAAATGAATAACATTTTCAATTGACTTCATGAAAATCATTTCTTTCATTTATTAATGCCCCCTCTTTGATATCCTTCCATACCTTCAGGATTTTTGGAAATCAAGCTAGCTCTTCGAGTGTGCATAGTATATAGATATTTCCCATTCATATCTGGGCACCAGTGCGAGATACGATCCAGACTGTCCAGTTTTCTGCTGTAGTAGTGCTATGGTGTGGACTACCCTCGGCACAGTCTCTTCCCCTGAAGTGACCATTTTTTTTCTCTGCACCCGGTTATGTTTGAGTTGTGCTTTTGACGCTTGGTCTGCCTTGGAGAATCTGATGTTCTGCTTGAGATTGTCTTGTGCCAGTTTATCTACTAGACAATCTGAGTCCTTTATTGAGGGATAGCCATCTAAACTCAGTGCCCCCCAACAAATAGGAAGGCAGAAAATCGAAAGTGTAAATCCAATCATCATCATCATCATCATCATCATCATCGTCCTTCGTTTATAACTTCTTCCGAGTGTAGAATCAAGGCCTAATGGGGACATTTGCAGTAAGAGATCCATAGATTCACGAACGGGATCTGTATCTTATGAGAGATAGTACTTATTTATAATGAAAATTAGAACTTAGCTTCTTTGTAGTTTGTTGAAGAAGATGAATAGTTTAGGGAATTTCTTTTTATATACCAGCATTAATGGGGGGCACTGAGGGTTCTAAGGAGAAGTAATTGTTTTCAACCAAGGTTTTCAAAAAGAAAAGCTACTGGAAATATTCTGACGGAGACCACTGACGGCCATTCTGTGGGCATTATTAGACTTCATCTATGGCGACCGTGATTTATACAGTGAGCGCACGGTCAGCTCGGATGAGCCTGTAACTGACATAGAAAGGTTCAAGCGTCTCCAAGCGTCTGGTGTTTCATATTTCCTTTTTATTGGAAGGGTATGCAAATTTCTTTTTTTTTTTTTTGTTTAACAGATTTTGCAAGGCAATCTCGTCGCGAAAGTATCATGTATTGTATCTTGTAGCTGGCACAAGACAATGAAAAACTCGGGATCAACCTGTGCGCAGAGAGATAACTAAAAAAAGGAAGACAATTTTGGTCAATTTCAACGTTCAATCTTTGAGATTTCAGATGGGTAATGAAGTGCTCAATCAGGATCATCTGAGCTTGACTTTGGAAAGTTGACTTTAGGAGCGAGTTTCGAGATGGAGCGGTTCGAGCAGACCTTTTTATGGGCCTTCTGGCCGCTGCAATCGCCGCTGGGAGGAAGAAGAAGATAGATTCGATGGAGAGGAAGACGAGGAGGCTCAGTTGCCGGCCACACCCTTGTTTCCGCTGCTTCCTTTCTTCCGGAGTTGAGATGGGCGCTTTACATAGTTTTCATTCATTCATTCATCGGCACCAATGGTTTAAAGTCTATCTGCTCATTACGGCATCCAAAAGACGACTGTACGCATTGTTGCCCTTTCTCTCCAGGATGAATAAAATATTTGGCAATTTGCTCCAAAAATTAATCACATCATGCCAACTTTATGGTCCAGGAGATGATATACTGCCTGTCTCGATCATCTTCGATTTCTCCGGCCCTCCCTCGTGATCTCCCCTCCAATCAATCATCCAACTCGCCGATACTTTTGCCTTGAAATCGTTTTTTTTTTCGTATTCCTTTGATTGGGCAGTCCAAATGTACAACAACAACAGGCAGGCCTAACTACAGACGCAGCAGCAGCAGCAGCAGCACCACCACCACCACCACCACCACCACCACCAACATCTGCAGCATCGCGCAGAAAGTCAAAGACAAAGGAAGGGCACCCACACTCAGTCACGCAGTCAGTCAGGCGGGGCTGACTGGTTAGCTTGCTACGACTACGGGTTACAACCAATCAATCAATCAATCAATCAATCAATACACAAATGCGTGTGGACTAGCTGCTAGCTCTACTCCTTTTTCTGTGTTCCATCCATCCTTCTCTACCGGTGCTTCTGTCCTCTTTGAGTATATCTGGTGATGATGGATAGCCTACACGTCGCGATGATCTCTCCTCTTTGGTCTCTCCACCGGGAGCTTCTCCATCTCCACGACGACGGCACCATCACCGCCGCCGCCGTCGCCGGTGGCTTCATCCGCCTTCTCGAGGGCGTCCAGAGCTCTCTTCGCGTAGACGGTGAATGCCACCGTCGTCACCACCGCGACCACAAAGGATATGACGTTGGAGACGATCTCCACCGTCGTCATGCTGTAGTTGCCGTACTTCGCGTCGACCAAGGTCCTCATCAGCCGGCCGCTGCACCGAGGAGATGAAGGATTGAGAAGATGGAGTACAATGGAGATGCGTACGCAGCAGCAGGGGAGAGTTGATCGAGCCCCACCTGTATATGTAGAGGAATGCCTCGGGGACCATGCCGGCTATAGACCCGCAGAAATAGGGTCCGAACCCCAGGTTCGAGACCGCCACGGCGTAGTTGAAGATGGTGTAGGGGAACGGGGAGACCCTGAAGATGGCGACCACCCGGAACTGATGGAACCAGCCGCCCTCCCCCACCAGCCGAATCACGGCGGCGTACTTTGGCCATCGCTTCAGCCGTGCCTGCGAGCGAGTTTACGAGGATGGATTGGACACAATCACAGGCACAGAAGGCGAGCAAGATGATGAGCTCTGGAAAGGAGGGAGATTGGGGGTGGGGCCTACGTGAATGTGGTCGCGGAATAGTAGCCCAATGAGGAAGGGTACGACCATGCCGATGGTGGTTCCGACCATGATTATGACAAAGCCGAGGCCGTACCCGAAGATCATTCCCGCAAGCCACATTGAGGGGCCGGAGGGAACCAGGATCACAGGGAACAGGGCCAGGGAGCCGACGAGTATGAAAGCGAGCGCAGGCCGACCGAAGGAGGTGGCTTCCCATTTCATGATTGGGAAAATGATCTGCGCGCAATAAACAAAAACAAATCAGAAAAAAAAACCAGGAAAGAAAGACAGCGTGAAATTTTGGACCCAATGAGCTTGCCAAGCAGAGAAGAATGTGCGGGAGAAAATCATCCCAGGAGGTTGCACCTGCTGAACGATGAATGGAACCCCCCACATCCAGAGGGCGACGCATGAGATCATCAGGAGGAGGCATCCAGATAAAACCTTAATCCACCAGAAAATCGTCGAGTGAGTTGCATTCACTTGGGGTTGTTCATCATCAACCTCTATTGTTCTGGCTCCATTTGGCACAAACAGTCTCTCATGCTCGCCGTCTTCCGTTGGCTGCTGTCCGGCATTTACCCACTGGCTTCCAAGCATCTTCGATGAACTGGACATTTACACGCGCATAGGTCTGAGGAAGCATGAAAGAAGACACTCTGCTATCCCAAGTCCATGAAAACAGGCATGAAAACGCGCATAGGTCTACCATTTATTATCACTAAAGCGCAGGCATGAAGGGGAGAGAGATCAAGGGGAAGCACCCATAAAATGTTCCGTTACTCCCCACCCCCCCCTCCGCCCCACTGTATTTAGGAAGATGACAGTGTGGTAACCACACATAGAGGTCTGAAAAAGGTGGAGAACAGCATCATGCTTCCGACAACTTTCCTAATTAGACTTCAACTGTTTGTAACCAAGGAAATGTCTGCCTCCTTTGGAATTAGACTCCCGTAGATTTTACAGATGAAGACACTAAAATCGTGCCCTGAGAACAAGTCAAATCTAACAGGCTGACGAGATTTCTCTTAACTGATAATTACTGGATTACAATATATCATCAAATTTGTGAAATCATCCTGCTAAAGAGACTATGACTACTCTGATCTGACAGTGTCGGTTGTGTTGTTCAAAAGGCTGTATAGTGCCAGCAAATCTAGCATCAAGATCCGATTCCCACTTCATCCTCTAGCTTATCTGCGTATATGTAAACCCACCATTATATGGTTCAACTCCAATGTAGGAACCACAGGAGAGAGCCCTTCTTATATTTAATAAAGGGATCTATCAGAATGCGTAATATCTGTCAGGAAAAAAAGAAACGGTCAATCAATTCTAATAGGATCCTATCGTGTTCAAAGTTGATGGGATGAAAATCACTTTTGGTACGATTTATTCACTAGATATTAAATGAATCATCTATTTATAAGACTGTCTAGGTTGAATGCAGACTAAAAATAGAGGGAACTGGTTTTTTGCCACAAGAAAGGAACTTCAAAAAAATAATCGTGATCCAACACGAAATTTTCCCAAATCTGAAATACCAAGTAACATGCAGCAGCTTATCAGGCCATAAAATTATAATAACGCAAATCAAAGAACTACGAGACAATTCATTGTGATGAAAACGTTTATCATAATTTTAATGCCTGATAATTTGCCTTACTTCATGGGTATTTCCAATTTAGACAAATATCGTGTTGGATCATGTTCCGATTTGCAGTTCCCGGGGCTGTCTTAGTATGATCATATATTTGCTTCAGGTTTCTCCCCTTCCGCTCTCATCTAGGCTCGTTCAAATGCAAAGACTGTATGTTCTTAAAGCAAAAAAAAAACAGCTTTTCCACTTTTTCTCTGCCTAAAAGGCACTGACGATGCAGTTCTCTGGATTCTTAAAGGGTAAAAGCCTCGGGCAGGAACTACAAGTTGAGAAAAAATAATAGCTGAGGATGTTGGAAGGAAATCATGACGCTCATAAATTATGCCAAAGATCAGAAGCCCTTTAATTCATGTTTAATCAGATTGCAAAAGAGGATGTGGGATGTTGAATATCCTCCCACAAACTGATGGCAAAAGAGGAAAGCTTAAGAGTCCTGCAAAAAATGAAATTAGGCAATCAGATATCTGATCCAGCGTCCTCAGCCCTTCGTCGCGTATGATGACGCTAGGTCCTATCAGCTAGTTCAAATCACTCATTCATCCATCCTGTCGCCTCAGCTTAGCCATCCAAGATTTCTTTTCTAGTTTCTAGTCAGGGATTCTCCCAAGTCTTTCACCGATCACCCTGACTGACCACGGATACATCTCTTCCAGAGGATGATGCCCAAAACGTTTCGACGTATCATCATCACGGTAGAAGATATGATCAACTATCAAAACCGACGAAAAGGGAAGAGAAACGTTGCAGGCTTTTTGTAAAGGAACCAATCTCCAAGGCGCTCAAGACCAATTAAAACACCAATCAAAACAAGCAGGAGGAGGCCTACGTTACCTGGAGGAGGAGGAGGAGGAGGAGGAGGAGGAAGAGATCTCCAAGAACCTACGGCCCGGAACGGAAAGACCCCTCCCCCGCTCCAATACGCGGCGAGGACCGGATGCGGCGGGCTGGGTGATGGTTGACTTCAGAGGGAGGAGGCCCGGGGAGGGAATAAAGGGCAGGAGCTTGCCCCCCTTCCCTCTCCCCTATTTCTTGACCCCCTGGTCGCTGTGCCCTCGAAACTTCTCCCACATATCTTCTTCTCTTCTCTCGGGGGGAGATGGAGAGAGAAAGCGAGAGAGAGAGAGAGAGCGCCGTGGGTCTCAAGGGAACAGCGGGAGGGGGAAACGTCAGCAGATATCGGCGAAGACCAAACTGCCTAGGAAGCTGCGACGGCGGCGACCAGAGAACTCGGTGGGGGACCCCCAGAGAGAGAGAGAGAGCTCGGTGCTCTCTTCGACAGACAGATAAGGGACAAAAAAATCCCTGCTTTTCTGTCAAAATAACTCCACAATTTTTCCACTCAATAAAAAAAATTAATGCGACGTGATGCGACGATCACGACTGACACGTCATACCCCCGCCCCTACCAGATGACAGGCCGGAGCGTGATTCGAACTGGGCCGAGAAAAGAACGCCCAAAAAAAAAAGAACGGAGATATTGGGCTTTCTTCGAGAACCCCAGCCCTGTTTCCTATTGGGGCCATTTAGGAAGAGGGCTGGGCTTGGTGGACTTTCGTGGCGGTCCGGCCCGTGGGATGGATGGGGGGTGAAAGAGGAGTAAAAACGGCCGGCCACCGAAATGGGGTTGGGTTTCTAAGATGGAAGGGATGGAGACCGCCGCCGCCGCCGCCGCCGCCGCCGGCGAGGTGGAGGAGGAAGAAGAAGAAGAAGAAGAAGCAGAGGAGGAGGCGGCGCTGACGTCGACTCGGCCTGTGTGCCGCGAGGGCTGCGGGAGACCTTTGAAGGTGTGCCTGTGCCGGCACCTGCCGGAGGCGCCCATCCCCACGGCCACGGCCGTCGTCGTCCTGCAGCACCCCCACGAACTCCGCCGCCGCCTCTCCACCTCCCCGCTGCTCCCCCGCTGCCTCCTCCGCTGCTCCCTCCTCCCCGGCCGCCGCCTTCTCCCCGGCTCCCACCCCCTCCTCGACTCCCTCCACCGCGCCGCCACGGCCGTCGGCCGGGTACCAGATCCCCCCGCCGCGCTCTTCCTCTTCCCCTCCGCCACCACTGGCGGCGAGGAGGAGGAGGAGGAGCTCCTCGTGCAACGGTACAGGGGGAGGTGCAGGGCGCTGATCGTGTTCGACGGGACGTGGAAGCACGCGGGAGAGATGGTGCGAGCGAGCCTGCCCTTTCTGTCTTGCTTCGCGCGGCGGGTGTCCCTCGCCGGCGGCTGCAACCGGAGCTCGGAGGGGGAGAGCATGTTCGAGTCGGAGCTGGCCCTCCGCAAGGAACCCCACCGGGGATGCCTCACCACCGTCGAGGCCGTGGCCAGGGCCCTCGCCGCCCTGGAGCCCCACGACGGCGGCGAGGGTCCCCGCGCGGAGAGTGCGTTGCTCTCGGCGCTCCGCGCCATGGTGGCGCTCCAGATGGCGCACCTCTCCGGGAAGACCGTGAACAGGAGGCCTCGCCTTCTCAAGAAGAAGAAGAAGAACAACAACAAGGAGACGGAGGAGGAGGATCCTGGGCCCTTCTCTACGCCCGCAGTCTGTTCGACGAAATGACCCTGTAGAATAATAGCACTAGCAGTAGTAAATAATTAATTAATTCTGCACGATAATTAATTATATGCGGCTTGCTAGATTTTAATCCGGAGGGTGTTCGTGGGCCGGTGCCCGGAGCCTTCCTTCTTTCTCTCTGTGGCTTTCTTTTATAATTATTGGGCCCAATGCATTTCTGGTCCATTCCGGGCCGCCCACGATAGACTTCGGCGTTCTCTTCGACGAAGAGAGGGAGAGGGAGGGGGACGATAATTAACGGCTGATGGCGTGTTTAAGGGCTGTTTCAGATTCTGTTTCTTGCCTCGATTACTGCGGACGGCGTTCCTTCCCCGGCACATTACACGTGGCGCGTACAGGAACGTAGAAGACCTTGTCTCTCCCTCTCTCTGTCTCTCGCTCGCTCTCGCTCACGTGCGTGCTTCCCCGACCGTCGGTCGGAGGCGGTGGCCCGCCGCGGCCTCAGGTGGGCCCTACGCCTTGTTGGACACGTCACCGTCGCGCGCCTCAGCCGTTCGTTCGTCGGAAGGTAAAAAGGGCGGGCTGAATATTCAATGCCGAGTATCCATCCGTGTCAGACCCACGTGGACTTCGATTTTCAACCGACTCGTGACTCGGCCAGCCAGCTGGAGTCGTGAAGAAGTCCCTTTTTGCCCCCTGATGAGGGGTAGAAATTTGTAAATCTGGGTCGACATTGTCCAGGGCAAGATGGGTACGAAGGGTTTATTTTTCTTTTAACGGCGAAGTAAACAATATTGCGCGGATGTCGATTGTTCTGGATCTTCTCCGAGAATCGGAGCTGCACTGGAGAATCGTCGGTCTTCTCCGACTTCCACTCGTGGGCCCCGCCAGACTCGCCGCATCCTCCCCCAGGAATCGGATCTTCCTCTCTCTCTCTCTCTCTCTCTCTCTCTACTCTCCCTCCCTCTTCTTCTCCTTCTGTTGCACCCTCCCCCTTGAATCTGTCTGTCTGTCTGTCTCTCTCTCTCTGCACCCCTGCTTCTGCCATTCGCAACTCGTCGGAGTTTCCTAGTCGGAGCCGGCGGAAGTAGTTGCGGAGTTGTGAGGGATAGGAGAGCCCTCGGCCATGGCGGTGGCCCTGCGATCATGTCCTTCTCTGGTAGCGCCGAATGAGGCATCCTCGCAAAGGCTGCAAGGAGCGCGGGGCGTGGCCTCCCTGTCCTTCCCGCCGGCGCCCGCCTCTTCGTCCTCGTCTTTCTTTGGTGACAGAGTCTGTGGGGAAAGCTCGGTGAAGCTCGATGGACGGAAGGGAGGGAGAGGAGTGGGCTCCAGGCCCTTTCCATTCATCAACTCCATTCTCGCCGATATCCCCAAGGATCTTACGGTGAGAACTCCTGCTCTCCTTTTGTCTGTTGAGTCTTTTGTGACCGCACTAGTGTTGTATTCGAGTGTTTTATCTGATCGTGACGAGAATGCGCCTGAACCTGAAAATTGTCGATCTTAGTTGTCTCTTATTATGTTTCTTTGTTCTCTGGGTATTGGATTTAATTTCTACAAGCCGTGTTCAACGTTGCTGCCCGTTTTCTGAGTGTCCTTCTCTTCATTTCTGCCGCACGCGGCGTTTGTCTTGATCCCGTCTGTAAGCAGTGTCTGTCATCAGGGAACCGCGCGCTCCTCCATTCACTCTGGTGTATTGAAGAGATTCGCATTGGACTTTCCTCTTCGTTTTTAAATAGCTTGGAGCGTTCAGGGCCCTGTCTTTCCCCCCTCATTTCACCCTCTTCTTGAAGAGTCTCGTTTTCTATCTCCATGTACTTCTGTTCTCATAAGAAAGAAGGGCCGCGGCACTCCAATACCACATCATCATTCGACTGAATGATTGCTGCTGTCGTTGGGCTTCTGTTCTGTTCTACCACCTGTGTGTGTCTCTTTATCTTTTGCATAGTTTGTATCCTCTCTTCGTGCCAGAAGTGATCCAATTCACATGGGATAGCGGTGTTCCCAGTTAAATAGATTGGAGTTGTCTTTATACTCAGTTCTGCTTGTCTTCAAAAAAATGTGTGTCGTAGACCGCTTTTTCGCCCTTTTTTTTTCTTTTAAATAAGTCTTAAGTTACCTTTCAGTGAATTTTTAGCGATACGTTCTTCCTAATTTAGGAATAATCAAGAAACTTAATGCTTTTTCCTTTTGCTCTTCGGTGCAGGCACTTGAGGCGCCTAATTTTCGCAATTCAGAAGCAGACCCTAGATCCGTTGCCTCACTGATACTAGGTGGTGGCGCTGGAACAAGACTTTTCCCTCTTACCCGGATGAGGGCTAAGCCAGCGGTATGCCTTTCCCCCACTCAACAGATCTATTTTCACTTTTCTTGTTTCATGAAGATATGATCGCGTTATTTCTTTGCATTACACCAGTTTCTTGTGTTATAGGTTTTTTCAACCCATTTGGCTCCCTTTGTTGATCTCATTTTAAAAAAAGATAAATGTTAGGCTTCAAAATGAGCTCCACATGCGATACCATTATTTTATTCAGCAGCTTAGATTGTAAAGTAAAAGATTATTTTCAGTGCGCATGAATTATAACAGCTATTGGCGAGTCAAAGAAATTATTCTGTCTCATCTTCAACTGATAGATGAGAGAAGCATTGCTTAGTCTCTACGGGATCTCAATTTATAAGTAATACCTGTGAATATCCTGCTCCATATTTATCAATATCCGGGCAGCTTTTTGGAATATTTTCATAGACATTCGTGGATTCTTCTTTCACCCTTTTTGTAATAACATGAAGGAACAGGCTAATAATTTTGGAATAATCAGTTATCCAAGCTTTTCTTGTGCTAAAAACCAATTGACCTTCAAATTTCGTAATGATGATGTTCGTGCCAACCTAGTGTTTTGTTCATTTGAATGCACGTACTTTGATTTTTATTGTAGGATTTGACAAATAAGATGTTCTAAAATAAATTTCGCTGGTGCTTCTTCGCTATTTGATTTGTAATGCATCTTCTTGGGTATCCACATCTCACCACTTTTCATTTGCGGATTACAAGGTGCCTATTGGTGGCTGCTATAGGCTCATTGATGTCCCAATGAGCAACTGCATCAACAGTGGAATAAACAAAATCTACATCCTCACGCAGTTCAACTCCCAATCCCTCAATCGCCATCTTGCTCGGACTTATAATTTGGGGAATGGTGTTAACTTTGGTGATGGATTCGTCGAGGTGTGTTCTTGTTCATCTCTGCAAATATGTGGTTTCTGAAAATCAATGCTACTCATTTGTCTGACCCTTCCATCATCAAAATGGCTGTTTTTAGGTTCTTGCAGCGACTCAAACATCTGGAGAAGATGGCAAAAGATGGTTCCAGGGTACAGCAGATGCAGTGAGGCAATTTGTGTGGCTATTTGAGGTGTGTGTGGTTGACAGATTAATCTTGATTAATCTAATCAGTGTGGCATATATTTTTCTATTTGTGCTGCATTTTTCGCTGGCATATTTAATTTTAACGAATGATTCTGTGCGGAGTGTATATAATTTATCTTTTTTTTTCTAATTTCTCATGATTCCGCTTAGAGTTTCTGGCATAGTTTTATCAGTTCACCTCACCCATGCTAAGCAATTTTTTCCAGGATGCCAAGCTTCGACATATAGAGAATATTCTTATACTATCTGGGGATCATCTGTACAGAATGGATTACATGGAATTCCTGCAGGTTTGTTGTCGATGGGCCTCTAGAGTTTATGACGAAAGAATAAAACGGTGCCTTGTTCTTACCACTCTTGTTGACCCGTAGCACTGATCCTAATTGCAGAGGCACATCAACACTGGGGCCGATATATCTGTCTCGTGCGTTCCCATGGATGAGAGGTGATCCTGTTGTCTCACAATCGAGTCTCCTTTGTTGATGTGAACACTGGCAGCGCCCACACAGTCTGCTTATCGTGTGTGTTGTTGCAGTCGAGCTTCTGATTTCGGGCTGATGAAGATCGACGGAAGGGGCCGCGTCAGTCATTTTCTGGAGAAGCCCAAGGGGGAAAGCCTCAAGACCATGGTACGTAGAGTGGAGTGGATCATGGGGGAAGAAGCCCAGATTCTCATGTTTTTGTGGGTCCGGTTCTTCTCTAGCATGAAAATAATAATAATAATAATAGTAATAATAATAGGCTAGGATCGGCCTACGATTGGCCTACTACGATCTGACTGAATTCTCTGATGCTGTTGCAGCAAGTGGATACGTCAGTGCTCGGGCTATCGCCGCAGGATGCGAAACGATTCCCCTACATCGCGTCGATGGGAATCTATCTGTTCAAGACGGACGTTCTTCTGAAGCTTCTGAGGTATTATGGCCGTGCAGTTATGAAGGGCTTCTGAAGAACCGAACCCTCCCCCGTCCCCGCCCCCTTCCCACGTAGGTAGGGTTCTTCGTCAGAGGGATGAACTCTTTTCCTTTCTCGCCGTGCTGCCCATCCGTTTCAGGTCTCAGTATCCCCATTCGAACGACTTCGGGTCGGAGATCATTCCGATGGCCGCCAAAGATTACAACGTGCAGGTAACTTGTTCTTCTCCAGAATTTTCCGGTGGTCGGGGCTTGAGAACAATTTATGATGATGAGTGAGAAAAGGGGGGAGAAGCTTCCGTCGCCTCGTCTGAACGATTGATGAATGAGCTTGATGGCAGGCCTACCTGTTCAATGGGTACTGGGAGGACATCGGGACGATAAAGTCCTTCTTCGATGCGAACTTGGCTCTCGCAGACCAGGTACTTTCTTGCTCCTTCCCCCCCGCTTGCTGCTGGTGGATAATGGATGATGGATGATCTTCTCCTTGTTCCTTCCTGGCCTGTTTCCAATCTTGTGCTGGAATTGGCAGCCGGCGAAGTTTCACTTCTACGATCCATCGAAGCCGATCTTCACCTCTCCCCGCTTTCTGCCTCCGACAAAGGTCGAGAAATGCCGGGTACGTAACCACCTCTCTCCCTCCGCAACCTCCCCTGCTTCTCTCGAGCACGAAGAACTCTAATAATTAACCTTGGTTCCTCGCAGGTTTTGAATTCTATAGTCTCCCATGGCTGCTTCCTCAACGAATGCACCGTCGAACATTCCATCATCGGCGTCCGCTCGAGACTAGAGTCTGGCGCAGAGCTCGTGGTGAGTGGTGGGGGGCCTACTTCTTCTTCTTCGCACGATGAGGATGGCGATGATGATAATGATGATGATCTACGCTTCCAGCGGCGGGAGAAGAGGTTTCTCGGAGAAAAGCCTCTTGATTGACTTTTTAAAGCGTTCGTACAGGATACCATGGTGATGGGGGCGGATTACTACCAGACCGAGGCGGAGATCGCGTCCATTCTGGCCGAGGGGAAGGTTCCGATCGGGATCGGTAGGAACACCAAGATCAGGTGGGGGACGACGACGACGACGACAAAGATCGTTTTCCCGCGGATTTCCCGATCCGTTCTCTGAATCTGTTCTTCATTTCATCGTTTTGGAACAGGAACTGCATCATCGACAAGAACGCCAAGATCGGGAGGGACGTCGTGATTGCGAACTCGGAGGTGGGCCTCTCTGCGGCGATCATCTATCGCTTCGAACCTGGATGAGATGTTGTTGTTGGGGCGGGCGGGTGCTTTTCTTTCTTCTTCTTTTTTTTCTTTCTTTTTTATTTAAATCTGAACACGCTGCTATGGATGAGATGTTGTTGCAGAAGGTGGAGGAGGCGGAGCGGCCGTCGGAGGGCTTCTACATCCGCTCGGGGATCACGGTGGTGATGAAGAACGCCACCATCCCCGACGGCACCGTCATTTGATCGCCGCCGCCGCAGATTCAGAGGAGGAGGAGGAGGATGAAGAAGAAGAAGAAGAAGAGGAGGGCTTCGGCTTCTTCTTTCCGTCGCCATCGGGGAAAACAGCCAGCCAGCTGGAGGGACGCATGAATAAATCTGTGTACAGACCACGCAGGGAATAAGATCCCACGCCCGCTCCTTCGTTCCTTCTTTTCGTCGTCGCTGTCGTCGGCTTCTTACTTCTCTCGTTGACTCCCTTCGTGCGTGCGTCCCGCCATCTGGGTCGACTAGGAGTTGACTCTGGCGCCCGCCCGCTCGCCCTTGAGGTTGAACCCGGAGGCCAACGCTCACACACTCTGCCTCCTACTGCTGTCAGAAGAAGTCCATGGACGGCAAAAGTCAACCCGTGGCCATGTCAAGAACTAAGAAAGCTACGGGCGGTTTTATTTTCTTGACGTGGTTTCATCCGACCCTAGAGAAACGGTTTGTTTGACATATGAATCCATAGTAATTAATGGATTAATGTATCCACGTGGTCATTTAAACGTACCTCAATCTAATAATGGATTGAGCTTCATTAGCTAGAGTGATAAGCTAGGAGGGAGAGAGAGAGAGAGAGAGAGAGAGGCATTTTCCAAGTAAGAATATGGTGGTAGGTCTTGGGGGGAAAAGAAACCTCTCAATATTTTTCAGGGTTTATTTAAAATTGAACGCTTCTTATAGAGGAAGACAGCGGATAATAGAAGAGGAAAGATTGTATGTCGATACTTTGTGTGAGTTTAGTATTTTTAGTGGGTTTTATGTAAGAACACACCCCAAAAAATGCCTACGAACCCTGATTTGACTCTTGGAGGCTGAAGAAGGAAGGGAAGATTGAGACAGCGAGGGGAGCGGGAAGAAGACAGCGCCTGAAGTGGTCGATCTCGCTGATGATCGGCAGTCGGTAGGCAGCACAGGTGGGCATCTGGCCTCGGAACCTTTCGTTTCACACTTTCCTTTGTCTTTCCCTCTCTCTCTCTCTCGTCGTCTCTCCTCCCTCGGCCACGAACGAAATCTAGGGCTCCATGATCGGCTTTGCGTCTTTCGCCGACCATTTCATTCTTTTTTTATTTTGGGAATCTGCGATTCGAGCAGTGAATTGGGAACGTTTCCGCAGAGGCCAACCTGATGGATTGGTTATGTCTATTACGCGTTCGCTTACCGTGTATTTCAGTGTTCACCGTTCTTCCCCTTTCTCTCCGTGGAGTCGGTTCTACCGTGGAGTTTCCGCTTTCTTGTGCACGTGAAATTGGGGTTTGAATCACGGCTTCTTCAGGATTGGTCTCTCGGCGCCGACGAGGGACTTGAATATCAGTAAATCGTCGGCACCCTCAGTGACGGATTGGGGGGCTTTTTCTCTCGAAAGATACATGTATACAACATCTAACTAGATCTCGGAGGAAATTGTTCGCTGTTCGAAGGCTATCTCGCCTCTCGGAGATCACCATTCTTCTCAGGGCGGATATCCGCAGTGGGAATTTGGATTTGTGCTCGTCTGATCAACCCGTCGGGGGAATGGGAAAGCCCCTTGTGTATGAGATCCTGCAGAAACCTGCCACGAGCTGCATCATAGCGATATGCTCCACAATCTGGTTCTTCATACAGAAGAAAAATGTCGGCTACGGGAACGTGGGATTGAGCTATGAAACTGCGGCGGAAGGGCATCACTGGCGGGTCATCACCTCCGCGTTCTCCCACATCAGTGTGATCCATTTGGTCTTCAACATGAGCGCCCTCTGGAGTCTGGGGGCCATAGAACAGCTGGGTCAGATGGGTCTCGGCGTGGAGTTCTACCTCCATTACACTCTTGTTTTGGTAATTCTCTCTGGTTTACTGGTGCTGGGGATCTACCATGTTCTGATCCAGAGGTTCAAGCTGGACTATTTCCGGAGGGTGACTGCTGTCGGGTACTCTGCCGTCGTATTTGGCTGGATGACGATCCTCGCAGTGAAGCAGCCATCGTCGAAGCTGAACTTATTCGGGGTCCTCTCGCTCCCCATCAGCTTTGCCCCATTCGAGTCGCTGGTGTTCACTTCCATTATTGTTCCTCAGGCGAGCTTCCTCGGCCATCTATCTGGGATCATCGTTGGCTACTCCATAGCTTGGGGTCTGATCCAAGGCATGAACAACTATTGGGCCATCTCGATGCTCGGGTGGACGATCCTCGTGTTTGCGTTGAGTCTGAAGCACAGTGGCGCGTTTGACCTCCGCTTTATCGAGATTGAGGTTGTTCAGGATCTCTCCTTGCCCACTGTGAGCCCTGTTGCTCCTGGAAATGGTAGAACTCTGCAAATGGACGCATTGCCTCTCCTGGGTGCAGACATTCTGTAGCTTAGCTCTTTTTGAGAGCTCAATCATGATGCTGCTGCTGCTGCTGCTGCTGCTGCTGATGATGATGATGATGATGATGATGATGAGCATCTTCGTGCGATGGGTAAATTTCTCATGTTCTTCCCGGCAGATTCTCTTGGTTCGTCTGCCCCCTCATCTGCATCATCAGGCTTTGAGCTTGAGAAGATATCTCCTCCTTGCCCGCGATCAGGAGCATCACTTCCCAATTGTGAAGCTACGATGGTGAGGCAGGTGATTTGGCTCATCTCTGTGGCAGAAGTGGATGGTACCTCGGATCATGAATGAAGCTGTACTAGTCTTTTGTAGACTGTTCATGATTAATCTTGTGATATGGATTTTTTATTTTTTTCCAGCTAATTTTATTGTCTGAAGGTCAATCGATCCTTCTCATGGGTCGATGCAGAGATGACCCCGCTGGGCAGCTTTTATTATATATTATGATTTATGATGGAAATAAGTTTAATAATCTTCAATATCGTATAAATTGTCTCGCCATGAGGAAGAAGGGCGCGGTTTAATTGCTGGAAAGGCAGAAACCCAAGCCAAGTATAGAATTGGTCAATGGAGATTTTGTGCATATTTATATTTACTAAAGTGATGTTTCGTGCGATGATTATTCATAATAATGTTATCTTTTGGAGGCTGTGGAGAAGAGGCTCTCTCTCTCTCTCTCTCTCTCTCTCTCTCTCTCTCTCCCTCTCCATCTCTGCATAGTGGAAGTGGGCCGGGAAGCTCGTAGCCCGGGCAGGATTTCACGGGCTTCGGCCTCAATCCAACTGTCACCCGGTGAGAAAAAGCCCTTTTTTTCTTCGTTTGTCCAAACAGCTCTGCCGCTGTTCACCTTCCCTCCGGCGATCTCACCCTCTCCCTATCCCCCCCCCCCGCAGGCGCCCCGTTCTGCTGCTGTTCAGGGCTCCCAGACTCCCCTCTCCCCTCGGTTGGAGTGTCGATGGCGACGTCGTCGTCGTACCCGCCGCCGCCGCCGTTCTACCGGCTCTACGCCGACTACCAAGAGGATGCAAAGTCAGCGCCGGAGCCGCCGCCGCCGGTTCAGGGCGCCTACCCGCTCTTCGGCGCCAACTACACTGTGCGTTCGATGGCCCTCTCGCATTCTTTGTCTCTACCCTCCCTCCCACTCCTCTAGGGTTTTTTATTTCTTCTTTTTTTTCTTCTTCTCCCTTCGTCTCTGCTTCTTCGTAGGAACATCGCCTCTCCGTCGGCATTTGATTTGGCCCTCGATCTTGATGGTGACTGATAAAATTGCGGATGATTCAGACGGAGGACGTGCTCCCTACCTTGGAGGATCAGGGCGTCCGTCAGCTGTACCCCAAAGGCCCCAACATCGGTACGAACTCCGACTTTAGGGTTCTGCTACTGTATGTGGGAGATTTTTATGAACTGAGGGTGATTACGTGAATGGTAGCTTCTTGCTGCCCCTTGGTTGATCGATTTTGCTTCTCTTTTCTTTTTTTAAAGAATAAATTGTCATAAAAATCATGAGTGGCACGGTGCTTCTTTTATGTTGCCATTATCGGCGGAAGACTACAAGAAGGAGCTGAAGGCGTTGAATCGTGACCTACAGCTTCACCTTCTGGAGCTCGCAGATGTCCTGGTCGAACGCCCGTCTCAGTACGCCCGCCGTGTGGAGGACATCTCACTCATCTTTAAGAACCTCCATCACCTCCTCAACTCTCTTCGCCCCCACCAGGTATTCTGATCTCTGTGCTCAGATTTGATGGGGTCGGCCCTCCCTTCCACTCGAATTTCTTTGACTGATCTCGGAAGGCCTCAGATTTCCAGATAAATCTTTGATTAAATCTCGACTTGAATCTTTCTTTCCCTCTCTCTCTTCTTGGTAGGCCAGGGCCACGTTGATTCACATTCTGGAGCTCCAGATACAACGCCGCCGCCAGGCCGTGGAAGACATAAAGAGGTGACGCTCCTCCCGCCAAATCTCTACATCTCTACTCATCACCAGATGGATGTTGGTTTGGTAGAGCATGCATGCCTTTAAAGATGCAGATGCTCGTGTTCTCCGTCTTTTCTCTTCTGGATCACTCGAACGGATCTGACTGCTTACGACGGTTTCTCCTGCGCATTCATTGTCCTCAAGATTACTGTATGGGTTGGATTCTAGGCGGGAACGCAAGTGATTACACTGTCTGGGCAAGGAATGAGACCAAAATATTGATCACTAATTATGGGTCTTAATTGAATGATGAACTGATTTATTGGGGCTCGCGTACTAGTTGACTATGCTTACAGGTTTCATATGAGGAAGCTGTTCATGGTGATTGATATGTGCAATATTTGAGTTTCACATTCTTATTATCCCTCGTAAAGCATGCGAACTCTCTGCTCATTGCACATGCTAGCTGTTCATGCTAACTCTTTTAGCGAGGGATGAGAGGAAAATATGTATATTGAGAAGTACGCAAAATAAAAAAAATAGTGATTGGTTGAAGCGTTTTAGCCCCCAATAAAGCAGAATAATTGACTACACTTGAGTTAGTTTGTGTAATGAGGAAATATATATGACACATTATCTATTAATGCAGAAGGCTATCTTTCTCCAAATATGTATGGACATTAACTATCTTTCTCCAATCGCTTTCGCTCTTCTCCAGGAGGAGGGAGGAGGCACAAAGGCTCCTCAAGGAATCACTCCAAATCCTAGACGGCCATCCCAATTGACATGACCAGAGGCAGATTTTTAAAGATTTTGCTTCGGATCGTGAATGGTGTAGAAGAGATTTCTTGCCTCTGATCGTGAATGTAAGTTTGATCGTTGTGGGCTTGTTAGTATTGGAAATATATATCATGAATGTAAGTTCTAAGCTCGTCGATGGCCGACCCAGTGAGAAATATTGATGCGGCAGTCTTGTCAAACTGATTGCATCCTTCCCTCTGCATGTATGTTCTTCCTCTCCCTTGGGGCAGATTCGATCCTCATCTTGGCCCCTTTTTTTTTCTCCTCAAAATTGGATATTTTTTCTTGTGCTTCTTGATGTGTCAAAAATGCGGTTTGGCTGGGGGCAAGATATATACAGTTCAAAGCGGCTTCAAACTTTCTATGAACGCTAATTTATTTTTTCTGTTGAAAAAAAGATTGTTGAATATAAATAATTTGGATTCAAATTGCGGGAATTATTTCGTCCGTAATTTTATTTTTAATTTGTGCCAAAGCACCAGTTTGTTCGCTTTAGTGATTTAAATCTCTGTCTCATTGTGTAAAGTTCTTATTATGAAAATAAATGAGCATGCATCATGTGCACTGTGCATCAGCTTGCTGGGCTTTTGAAAAAAAAGAAATCCTCCGTTTTTTTTTTCTTTCCATTTCCTCATGCTGGATCTCTGTCGTATCTCCCGTCATAGAGAGTAGCGTTTTCCTATAAATGGGATGAACTGAGAAAAGAAATCAGATTTTGAATATTTTGTTCATCCTCCGAAACCTGCAGAGGTCAACATTTTGGCCCTTTTCTGTCGTTCAATCAAAACCCATCATCGATCTACCCGTAATCGTGGAACTTAATCGTGTCGATGCCTGTGGGCTGACTCTGGCGATCACCAGTCTGCGGGGAGATGAGACCCGGCACTAGCTACCCTCTTGCCGTCCTTTTACTAACAGTACTTTGTCGACTGAATGCGCTCTGACCAGGCGCAGGACGGTTAATGGATAGCGAGAGAGAGAGAGAGAGAGAGAGAGAGAGAGAGAGAGAGAGAGAGGCATGTACGACGAGAGCGAAGGTCTGGTTTTGTTGATGTCATCCAAACGGGTGGAGAGAAGATATTCGATGGGAAGCTACTCGGCGATGGTGGCGGAGCTGTAGCTCACCTCCGGCATTAATTAAAGTGATCCTGGGGAGGAGAAGAGGTAGTAAAAGTAGGGAAAAGACTGATAACTATCCGACTAAGTAGCCTCGCCTCCTCTCATATGGATCCTCGTCCTCTTCGACGCACCGGCGTGGGCCGAGAGCATCTCCACGGCGGCGCCGCCAGACCTCCGCCGGGCTGGCCGCCGACGAGGGCGGGGCTTCTTTCTCCGGCGGACCTGCGGCGGGGCTTCTCGGCGAGGCAGGCCTTCCTCCTCAGCTACCGGCTCTCTGCGCCGGAGAGCTTCCGGGAGAGGACGGCGAGGACGACGGAGGAGCTCAGCGCCGGCGCGAGGACGGCTCTCCGGAGGCTGTCGCCGGCGCGGTGGGTGCACAAGCTGGTTGGGGCCCTGCGGGGCTGGTTGCGCCGCCCGCCGCCGGCGATGAACCCCGCGCGGTGCTTCGTCTCCCGGGGGAAGAAGAGATGATAAACAGGGAAAGCCCTACTGCCCCTGCTCTCTCCTCCTCCCTGATCGCCCTCACCCAGCAGTACGTAGTAGTAAGCCGACGGGGCTGGTTGTCGATCCCTCTTCTTCTTTTACTGATGAACGTCAACTGAGGCTTATTCCTACTCGGAAATTTGTCTGATAACTACGAACAAGATCGACGGGCTGGTCACACTTTTCTTTCTGTTTATATGACTTTCTGATGGATCCGTGAAGAACATATTGCCCGTGCATGAAATTATTTGATTTTTTTCATGCCTAGACTCCAGAAATATAATCTCACGCCTTCATAGCCTGGGAGAGAGGGAGAGAGGGAGAGAGGGAGAGAGAGAGAGAGAGAGAGAGAGAGAGAGAGAGAGAGAGAGAGAGATACATGGATTAAGAGAACGCCAGAAGGTAGACAAAAGAAAAGAAAAGAAAAGAAAAGAAAAAAAAGTTGGCAATCGCAACAAAGGATCCCACCCGCCACCACAAGACTCTGCACAGTGCACGAACATGACCAACCCCTCCCCATTCCCATGGCCCCCGAGAACAAATAAGAACTCAACAACTCAGAACCCCTTCCTGCTCCTTTTCCTTTTCGTCCTCTTCTTGTTCGTCGTCGTCGAGGAGGTGATACCGGCTGAAATGGTCCACCCTGAACTTCCACTCACCCTTGCCCGCATCAAAGGAGACGAACTCCGCACCCTGCTCCCTGACCTTCTTCCTCAGCATCTCCTCGTACCTCTCCACCTTGGGCCCCTCTGTGTACACCTCCCCGGTCTTTCTGTTGGCGCACCGCACGTTCAGCAGCGTCACCTCTGCGGGGCGGTTCAGCCCCTTCCCCACCGGCGGCTTCCTCACCTCGTCCCCATACACCACCACCTCGCGGCTGTTGAACTCCACGATGGCCTCCAGGTCGAGCCCCCTCACGTCCGTCTCTCCGTCGAATTTGATGCTGCCGTAGCCGCGCCGCCCGACCACGAAGTTCTTCACGCGGGAGCAGAATCCCGGGTTGGCCCTCTCCTTGGCGGCGAGTTCCTGGAGCTGGGGCTCGGTGTAGTACTCGGGGTGGCGAAGCCTCGGCAGGATGGATTCAATGTCAACGGCTGATGCTGCTGCTCCTGCCGCCGCCGCCTCAGCCGCACTGTGCCGGGGGGCTGACCCATTGGAGGATTCTCCGCCGTTGTGGGGATGGTCGCCAGGACCCCTTCTACCGCGGCCGTTCTCAACCTGAGCGGCTTTGGATTCACAAAAACGGTGATTTGGGTAATGTCAGCAGAAACAATGAAGTTGTTATGGAGAAGTCCAAAGGAAAACAAAAGGGGAAACTGGTTTATTATGTGGGGGGGTATGAACAGACAATTGATTGCTGCGTACATATATACATACATATATATATATATATATATCTAGAGAGAGAGAGAGAGAGAGATGGCTAAAGCCATACATGATGAGTGGAAGGTAGCAAGCTCATGCGAACCTTCTTGCCCACTTCACAAAGAGAACAAGAAAAAGTGGAAGAAGAGGAAAAAAAAAAAAAAAAAAAAAACTGGGTTTGGAGATTTCATAATCCGGGCCATCTTCAAAACATTATATAATTGGTTTAATCAAATAATAACGACAGCTACTGATCTAAATTCCTTACGTAGCAAGATTGTTAGTGAAAGCACGGTATAATTGGAAAAGTCGGGGAACACAAATGACACCAAAAATTAGGCCCTGGTTTCGATCACAACTGGCACCAAATGGGCTACAGTTGATGAAAATGGAACATGTGGTATTTTAAATTTTCATTTTAAAAAAAAAAATGTATTAGATAAGAGGGCATTTTCAAGTCATTGCTCCTGGGAGATGCATAAAAAATCTTGGCTATGTTTTCAATCTTTGCTTCCAAGTGTCTCAGTAATACATGGAAAATCCACTTTTCTTCATAAAGCAAAGCCTATGCTGCATATGCAACTAGAAAGGCGTCATCAAGATCTCAAACACAAAATATGTGCACACAAAGATTTATATAAATATACATAAAAGGAACGTACCAGTATAGTCTTCTGCAGTAGACCCGTCTCTAGCAGGAGTAGATGGCTCCCCCGTGGATTTACCTGAAAAAAAGCAATGCGATTTCAGAGGTATAGACCACCAAATAACCCTTTAATTTTGAAGACGGAGTTGATCATGTAATAATGTAATATAATTCATCTCCCTAGCACGTTCATGAAGCTTCCAATGGAGCCTTCAAAGGCCCATTGTAATCACCAGTTATATATACCTGGGGGAGTACATGGCTCAAGTAAAATCTTGACATGCTCCAGCATCAAAAATATGAAAGACTAGGAAAATAATACTGTCCATAATTCACAAAGACATCCACAGGTAAAAATGGAGCCACCAATTAATGTCATGGATCAGAGAGATAATCTTCCACCAGTATTCCGTTTTTGTAAATCAAATATTTCAATTTCATTTTTTTATTTAATTTTCTACACCTTCGAAGTGCCCTTCTGCAATTAATATCCAAAACTTTTTGCTCAGCTTCAAAATTCTAGAAAGTGGTCATCTTTAATCGAAGTAATAAATCTTAATATGGATCCTCCCTGAAGGCAGATTATCATCATCATTAATCATATGGGCCAACATGGATGTCTTTCGCATGTCTAGAACGTGGGCATTAGAGGTCAAGGGCAAGTGCTTGTAAAGAAACTCTTGAGGTTTCTTAAAGATTTCACGAACAGTGAAAATTGGACAGTGGTCTACAGAAAAGTAGGTAGGTATCTAATGATCCCACATGTGAGCGAACAACTGAACTAGACATCAAAGATAGACAAAATCACGAGCAATCGTCAGTCATTGTCAAGATCATAACGGGACGGTGCATCTGATAAGACTTACCATTTTCATGGACTCGAATGGAATCATCTTTTGACACAGACTGCTTCTCTGTGGCAGTCCGCGGAGGCCATTTCTCGATTGGATGGACAATCAAGGCTCTCGGATTCTCTCTAGGAATGAAAAAAGCATCTGCCTTCGGCGTAGATGTTGTTTCTTCATCTTCGCTGAAGAATGGCACCTGCATATTGTCAAAGTGAGATTTTTATCCTTTAAAAAAACGGTTAAACTGTTCTGTCCAAACTTCAACTTGACTGCAAGAGTACTCACCAATGGCCCATCAGTTTTAGGATGATATTTCCTCGGAGGCAACTTGATCCTTCTCTGGGTCAAATGTCTAGGGGTTAACAACGACGAAATTCTCATGGGAGCAGGCCTTTCAGAAACCTGTTAATAAACAAAATTGCACTTCCTTGCTTAGTAAGAAGGTCTATGCAGCAGTTCTGGGAATGGCAAAGAATGGTCAAGTTCAACGATAACCAGAATCATAGGTCTGGCTGAAGAAAGGAATAAAAAAGCACAGAAAATAACTGATCAAAACAACAACGTAGATGGAATACAGGAGAGCCTGGCACTTACGGGCATGCTAGAAATTCCATATTGAACAGAAGGAGCAGAGCCACCTCGGCCAATGGACATCTGAGGCACACTCGGAAGCATACCAAATGGACTTGCAAGGGGAGAAGGTTGCATCGCGACACCAGGCTGAAGAACAGCGCTATAAAATGGACACAAGGAACCACAAAGTAAACCACTAGAATTCGAAGTCACAATTCCATGTTGTAAAAATATTATTTTAATCACCAAAGAGAGAGAGAGAGAGAGAGAGAGAGAGAGAGAGAGAGAGAGAGAGAGAGAGAGAGAGAGAGAGAATCTTCAGAAGTTCAACAAATGAGTTATATAATAACACTTATTTGGTCGTCAATGAAATTCCAAAATGTTATTAGATTGGACAGTAATACTGAACATATTGGTTCCATGTCAAATATTATCCTTCTCCTTGGTAAAAATCGCACACCATGAACAGGAAAGGAATCCATACTTACGATGCCCCAAAGATGCCCTGACCACCGCCAAAGCCACTTGTGCCTGAAAAATGTACCACAGAGATAAATCAAATGACTGCAAATTTTAAAAAATACGGATAAAATATAAAGTGAAATTCAAAATACCTGGTTGTGGTTGACCAAAGCCACCAAATGAAATAGCACCCGATGTCTGAGGTGGAGCAGCTAGCTGGAAAGGGCTTGAGAGAGAAGCCTGTCGATGGACATGAATTAACGCTGTTTAACTTCAGAGAGCATTCTCATGCAAGACTAGCTCGCAGTGGGAACTAAATGCAATTCCATCATTTAGAAAAAGATAAAAACAACTAAGACAAGTAGAAGATAAAAGCAGCACACAAATTTCACTATTCTCAAGTGTTACTTACAGGTGCTTGGCTGAAACCCAAAGGACTGGAAGAAGGAATGAGTGATGATGTTGAACTGCTGAATAAGCCCCCTCCAAACCCAGTTGACGGGGCACCAAAGATACTTGAACCAAAAACAGAGCTTGTCTGTCCAAATCCACTACTCGCCTGTCCAAAAAGCGATGGTGTCTGTCCAAAAGACGGAGAAGACTGGAACAGTCCAGACGGTTGAGTACCACCAAAAGGCAAGCTAGAGCCAAATGCCGGCGTCGTTCCCACAGCAGAAGAACCAAATGGCGAAGAACCAAAAGCAGATGTAACTGATCCACCAAAAAGCGGAGTAGAGCCGGCACCAAATGCAGGAGTCGAGCTAGCTCCAAATGCTGGAGTGGAACTAGCACCGAATGCTGGAGTTGAGCTCCCACCAAATGCAGGAAAGGAACTAGCACCAAATGCAGGAGTTGAACTCGCACCAAATGCAGGAGTTGAACTGGCACCGAATGGAGGAGTGGAAGTGGCGCCGAAGGCAGGAGTGGAACCTCCAAAAAGAGATGGGGCAGTAGAAGCAGCTGTGGATACACCAAATGGGCTCGATGAGGATACACCAAATGGCGAGCTGAATGCCGGTGTTGATGAGGCACCAAAGCCAGTAGATCCAAAGGCTGGCTTTTGACCGAAGGGACTGGTGGCCGCACTAGAGAATGCAGGCGTCTGACCAAATGTACTAGTGGCGCCAAAAGGGCTTGGCTGTGTTGATGGAAAACTAAAACCACCTGCAGCTTGCCCAGCCGGGCTTGGACCCCCTGTATAAAATCATGTAAGTTGCATGAAAACCTAAAACATATAGCAAACATTGGTTCCAGACAGACAAATAAGAAAAACAAGGAATCTATCTGCAAGAATGCTCAGACAGAATGTTGCCATCCTAGCGATCAATCAGTTCACAATCAGATTAAGGTATCATTCAAAGGAAATGAATGAATTCTGCAGCCACCTATGTACCAGACATCCTTAAATGCACTTTAAAAGTCCCTGAAATTCACGCGGTTGTAACACTTAACAGACCTACGCTATCAAGCAAAACATCTCTAAAGCAAGTTTTGGACAATTTTCACAATTGTTTTACCTGGGTTTTTTTCATCATGTTCTATATATCTTTTTTACCTCTTATTATTGGCATAGGTTGGCCACTCTGGTAGGATGGTACCTACATGCCTCCTTAGTTTGGGCATGATATAACTGCTCGCCATGACATATACTTATTAGATGTGTTACCAGGAAAGGAAATGTCCCATTCTATTTGGACGCATCAATCCATTGATCATAGAATAATGCAATAGTCTGAACTTCCTAAGCATGATGATGTATATTTACCCAATGGATTATCATATTTCCCAGCGCCTCTTCTCGGGAATCGTTGGGCATCCAGTGACAATTTTTTTTGATGGCGTACACTAATTCCTGTCTTTTCCCGACAGACAGTGGCTGGAGGAACTTTCTATGTTTGATATGGATACGTTTAGCTTCTCTGTTATTTTTGCTATTCCATGAATTGTGCCTGTTAGAGCTATGGAAAAGCTCCACTGCCAAAGAGCTCGTAGCAATTTAACATGAACAACAACTAAAATCATATCAGCCATAAAGCAAGATACGCGAGTAAAACTTAAAAAAACGGCACTATTGAAGGACCTTTGTCTCCGCGTTGGTAGTCCTCCCATCTCAACTCCTCATGGCTCTTGTCTTTATAGACAGGCATAGCCGAAATTGATTCCAGCTTTCCAGTAGCCTGTGCACCAGTACCGCCATCTACCTCAGGAGTGGGGGTATATGATGCTACCCTACTCCCACCTTGCTGACCTCCAAATGCTTGTTGACCAAAACCGGGGGTTCCAAATGTGGGTGTTGTTGTCTGGGCTCCTGGGAGGCATTCAAAATTGAGGGTATTAAAAAAAGAAAAAATAGAAAAATGAAAGGAAATAATGAGACAATATCTTCTTCCAATCCAAATTGAACTCGTAAGTGCCAGTGGCTTCCTGCTATCCAGGTGAAAGAAAGAAATCCATACCAAATGGAGAACTCTGCGCACCAAAAGGAGAAGTTGATCCAAATGGACTGCTACCAAACGTAGATGCTGACTGTCCAAATGCAGGTGTTGAAGTAAAACCGAAACTAGGTGTACTTGATGCGCCAAAAGCAGGAACACTTGAAGATCCAAACGCTGGAGTACTTGAGGGTCCAAAAATTGAGGTAGAGGATGCTCCAAAAGCTGGTGTGGAACCAAAGGCTGGGGCACTTGAAACTCCAAACGCTGTTCCTGTACTCCCAAAGAGTGGAGAACTTGTAGAGCCAAATGCTGGGGTACTAGTAGCACCAAATGCAGGTGTTGTTGTAGCACCAAAAGCCGGGGTACTAGTGGCTCCAAATGATAATGCTGGAGTTGCACCAAATGAGGGGGAGGTTGTGGAACCAAATGCCGGTGTGCTGGTTGCACCAAATGCAGGTTGACTTGCCCCAAAGGTTGTAGTGGAACCAAAAAGACTGCCTCCAAAAGCTGGCTGTGTTTGCTGAGGTGTACCACCAAATGGACTTGTTTGGCTGGGAGTGGAACCAAAACCACCAAAAGTTGGCTTGGCCCCAAAAATAGATGAGCCTGAATGAGGGAAAATGGCACCACAACTCAATATACTGAAAAATGACATGACACAAAGGATACACATGAAATATCCAAAAGCATCTGCCTGTCTTATTAACGTGAATACTCACTGGAAGGGGTGATTCCGATAACTACCTGAGCATTTACTAATATCAAACTCGAAATTTCGAAAATTTGACGAGTCACAAGATATGGAGGAAAAAAAAAGAATTATATTTAGGTTTCAGATGCCACTATGACATTGGCAGATAACATTGGTCTATCCCACGAGAACTATGATCAACGTCTCAATAGTGTCCCAATCAGAGAATTTCTAATTGCATTCCCAAAAAGAGCCTTTGAGAGCTCATCCCAAATGGGTTTATCTATGACATTGGTGAATTCATGTGAAAGTAAATTGCAAGTCTCCTGGGAACCAGATTTTTGGACTGAAAAACAAGAAGATATGCAGCATGGCAAAAAGGAGGACAAGTCCCACGAGAGCAGAGGGCTCCAGACCCCTCTGTCATCCGAAGACAATATGCTAGAGGAGGCAGCCTCAATAACCATGATGTAAATAAACTTTCGCTGCATCTCAAAATGCTTAGCCAACTACTGAAGGGCCCTTAGAGTACTTTCACATCACCATACTTCCATTAGAATGACGAGGAGGTTTTGAAGAATTGTAATCAGACTGGCAGGACCATAATATAGAGCAGAATAGTGCGTTAGCAAGATGAATGGAGTTCGAATAAAAACAGTCTGGTGAATATCGAGGGAAAGTAGAGAAACATGAACAAGAGGGAGTAAAATTTTGCACCATTAGACAGAGTACAAACGATGCTTATCATTTTTATTGTCGTTACGAAATAGAAGTAGACCAAAAGACACATAGATAGACATTAAAGTGATACATGCTAAATCTGAATATGATTTATGATAGAGAAGAATGGAAGAACAGTATATATCCCTGAACAATGGAATTGGTGACTTGGAGGATGATGATGACAAAGATGATCTTATAAAAGATGGACCGAGTCGGCATACTTAATAAATCATGGAAAAGTTTAAGATAAAAAAAACCCAATGAACTTTTTTCATAGAACACGGGGATGGATTCTGAACCTTAGATATGTTCTCTAGAATAAAGACATGATTAAAACTCTTATTTTTTGCTCTCATAAGAGTTGCCCACATGGAAAGCTCAAGAGGTATGATTTTTATATTCAGATGGAGGGTTAACCGCTAGAAATATTCATGAGAACGATTTATTGCGAAATAGAAAATAGACACAAGACATTAACATGCACATTTAGGATTCCAGCAGAAAACAAACTACAAGCTGAACTTTACATTACAGTATGTAGGTTCGTTGCTGTCACGAGGGACTATCTATAGTTAAAAAAAAAAAGGATAAAATGAGTTCATTCAAGGAGAAATTGCAGTTACAGGGGAGTTCTAGATAACAGACGAGTGGAGTTTAGAACCACTATTAACCAATTGACAATTGTAAGGTACAATACAGATCATAATATGGCCACTCAGGAAGGCAAAGAGGTAAATATATTCAACGAGCAAGCAGTTTGATTATTAGTCAAACTTACCCAATCAATTCGATTCTTAGAATGTGGCTTATTACTTAGAGCCACATAAGAACATCCCACGAAGTAAATGTTATTTCTCAATTACTACTTGAATGTCATATCAACCCGTGCTTTATCTCATAATATTAAAGCCATCATCAATCCTAACAGCAAGAAGAAATTTTATCGGTTGCCAATTTTAAATGCATGTTTAAAATACAATGCCTTAGACTTGTGATTTGAAAAGTCGTTCCAAAGTCTCAAACTTTTACCCCAGAGATGAAGAACCAATAGAAGATAGCAAAGAGACGGTGTTTCATAACCAATTTTGCTGAATTGTAGAATTGGCTGGCAGAGGGACCTACAACAAGTTTGCATTTTGGTTTTTGTGACTCTTAATTTTTTAGCCTACGTTTCACCAGTTTTCTACAATGCTATTCATACAAGGGAGAGCATACCAGTCATACAGAGTCATCTAAACAATGTGTCTCCACATTATAGCCACTATTTAGCCAATCCTATGAGATTACATATACATAGTTGATATATGATACCCTAGTGCGAATTGAACGTTTTCCATACGAATTCAAATATTGGTCTAACCAAACAGATATTATGAAAGACTTTTCGTGAATCGTCACAGAATCTTCACAATTCGAAGGTCTATTGTTGTTGTCTCGAAATCATCAATCGTCATATTCTGTGCAACTGTCTGGAAGCTCGAACCGTTCAAAGCACCGAATCCCTGATCAAGTTATGAACGAGATGTACACATTTCAAGGGCATACAGACTCGACCACCACCACCACCACTCCTTACAATACATACATACATCCACATAGAAGATCAACTTAAGGAGTAGACGATACTACCTTTAACAAAAGTCATACGGCAATAAAGCTAGCAAGTTTTTCAATGTGAAGTGTCAGAACTAAAGAGGAGACAGACTTTTCTCAACATCTGAACAAAAAATAAGAGTCATGCCGCCTTGTAGTGAACAGTCAACGCAGAGGGAGCGCAGGAGATTCTTACTTCCAAAGGCAGTTGAAGAAGAACCGAATGCAGGAGCAGAGGAGGCGCCGAAAGCTGGTGTTGATGAAGCCCCAAAAGCTGGCGTTGATGAGGCCCCAAAGGCAGGTGAAGTCAGCGGCGATGATGGCTGCCCAAAGACGCCAGTTGACGTGCTACCAAATATTGAACTTCCAGTAGGTGATCCAAACGGGCTGGGACTCCCAAACGGCCTGGGGCTGAATGGATTGCTCGTCGCACTGCTTGTTTGCCCGAATAATGTGGACTGCCCAAACGGGCTACTTGAGGATTGCCCAAACGCTGCTTAAGCCAGAAGAGCAAGGTCATAAACGTAACCAGAAAGGGAACGGTGGGAAAGAGCATATGAATGGGTTGGAGAAAGCCCTAATCAAAACCAAAGTTTTAGAACCCCACCAGTCCCCTCGCGAAAAGAGATGAACAAACAAAAGAGAAGACTTCCACAGCCAAAAGGATGAAATCAGAAAACAAACGAGGGATGTCCAATGCGCTTCAGTATTTCAAAATCTTCCGATTTCGACAAAACGAATGAGAGGAAACGCCACGAGCAGCGACTCGGGACGGCATTCAAATAACATCCAAACCCCAGAAAGAAAGAGCGTACTCGACCGTATTCGAATAAGCGCCTGCCCTATTGAGCTCCAGAGTGTTTGCCACCCATAGAAGCCGACAAGTAGCCAAGAAGAAACACAGAACGACCACGAGAAGAGAAAACCCAAATCACGAAACCGCAGCAACAGCAGAGGGGATTGGAGTGAAGAGCGTGTCGCGCAAGGGCGAGAAGCAGAAACGTACGGTTGTTGGACCCGAACATAGCGGCGACGACGGATTCTCCGGTTGAAGCGAAGACTCCCTTCTTTAAGGCTCCCCGATCGCCGCAGTCAGACTCTCCAGGGAGAAGAAAAAGAGGTGGGGGGGGAGAGGAGAACAAGGGCGGGACGTAGAGAGAAAGAGAGAGAGAGAGAGAGAGAGAGAGGGAGAGAGAGGAGAGAGAGAGAGGAGAGAGAGAGAGAGAGAAAATATATAGGTGGTCGCGCCGCCTTAAGATTTCGCGAAATGGGCTTGGAAGTAGAAATTGGGTCCATTTAGTAGACCTCAGGCCAAGCCCACTAAACTGGGTATTGCTGGCTTCCTACATACGTGGCACGTGGACCCAACTAAATGGGACCCACTCCGACGTCGGGAAACAGATTTGAAATTCCGGATCCTGAGCTTTCCGTCTCTGAGGTAACACACTCCGACAAGGACTAGTCAAATATGGTCAAGTCGTTAACGGTCTCTGATCCGACTCACAACGGGCATGTATACAGCGGAACCCGCGACCATCAGGCCGCTACAACAGGCAACCACCTCCCCCTCCGCCGCGGATCCAAGGTGGCGCCACCACCGGCGGCGGCAAGAGAGGCTCCGGAGGCGCTGTGTGAGAAGCCTTTTCAACTGGACTCCGTCCAACTGCACCCACGTACCTTGGTGACCCCCCCCTCTTCCATGGCAGTCCACAGGGCCCTGGCCTCGTCCCATCTGCCGGCGGCGGCGTAGATATTAGCCAGGACGACGAGGTGGGCGGCTGAATCCGGCTCGAGCTCGGAGCAGCGGCGGGCGGCAACCTCGCCGAGCTCCACGCCACCGTGCAGCCGGCAGGCGAGCAGCAGAGCCCCCCACACGCCAGCGTGCGGCGCCACCGGCATGCGGCAGGCCACGTTGTAGGCCTCCTCCAGCCGGCCGGCCCTGCCGAGGAGGTCGACGATGATGGCGTAGTGGTCCACCGTCGGAGAGATCCCGTGCTCCGCCGCCATGCCGGCGAAGCACCGGCAGCCTTCTTCCACCATCCCCGCATGGCTGTACGCCGCGAGCAACCCAACGAAGGTGACGGCGTTGGGGGAGATCCCCTCCTCCCCCATCTCCCCGTACAGGGAGATGGCCTCGGTTGACCTGCCGTTAATCCCGCAGCCGACGATCATCGCGCTGTAGGAGACCACGTCCCTGAGCGTCAATCCTCGGAAGAGCCGGAACGCCCCGTCGATGTCCCCGCATTTGGCGTGGAGGTCAACGAGGGCCGTCCGCAGATGGTCGTCCAGTGGGATCCCGGCGGCGGCGATGTGGGTCAACGCCCACCGGCCGAAGCGGAGCTCCCCCAGCTGCGCGCAGGCGGAAAGTAGACTCGAGAAGGTCTTCCCGTCCGGCTGGGCTTCCGCTCCGCCGCCGACGTGGGTCTTCTGCATTCTCAAGAACAGCAGCAGCGCCTCCCGCGGGCGCCCGTTCTGCGCGTAGCACGCCACCATCGCGTTCCACGCGGGCGTGCTCCTGCGCGGCATTTCGTCGAACAGGTGCTCTGCGGCAATCACGTCCCCCTGCCTTGTGTAGCCGCCGATCATGGCGATCCACGAGACTTGGCTCCTCTGCGGCATTTCGTCGAACAGTTTCCTCGCCGACGGCATGTCCCCACAGGCGGCAAGGCCGCTGATCAGCGCATTCCACGACTCGGCGTTCTTCTCCGGCATCCTCTGGAACAGGGCCGCGGCGGCGGCCATGTCTCCAGCTTTGGCGTGGCCCGAGATCATCGCGTTCCACGAGACGGCGTCTCTCGCTGGCATTGCGAAGAAGACCTCGCAGGCGGCGGCGAGGCAGCCAGAGTTGACGTGGGCGGAGAGGAGGGAATTCCAGGTTACGGTGTTTGGGGCGGGCATTTCGTCGAACAGCTTCCGGGCGTGGGTGGCGCCGCCGGTTTTGGCGTAGAGATCGACGAGGGCCGTGTGGACGTAGACGTCGGAGGGGGCAAAGCCGAGCTTGCGGGCTTGCGCGTGGATGGCGGCGCCGCCGCGCAGGTGGGGGAGGCGGGCGCAGGCCTTCAGGGCGGCGGTGGCGGCGAAGGTCTCCCACCCGCCGCCGGAGACGGCGGCGGCGCTACGGTGGAGGGCGGCGTAGAGGGAGAGGGCCTCGCGGAAGCAGCCGCGGCCGGCGGCGGCGCAGACGGCCTCCGCCAGGCCCCGCGCCGCCGCCGCCGCCCCCGTCATATGCTCTCTCCGGAATCAAATCTATTTGCATGATCTCGATAGCAGGGCGGCTGGCGAGTAATAAATAGATCCCAGAAATGGCTGAAACCTGAAGTGGGCGTCATTTTTTCTATTCAATAAATTAATAAATAAATAAAATTAGCTCTTTGTCACCTGAGAAAAATATTTAGAAAGAGAGAAAATGCTAAAATAAATGCCCACCAAGGGGAAATAGGTGAATGTAATCTTTTGGCTTGGGAACGCGTATACCTCTGTATTTTTCTCTCGATTAAACTTTCGTCAGTCGTAAGTTAAATATATCTCATGATTTTTTGAATATATATATATATATATTAGTTATGTTAAATATTTAATAATATAGATAGGTCTGCATAAAGAGCTGAAAATGGGCTTGATGACATTCGTCCTTTCCTCTCCTGAGCCTTTAATGGGTTGGGCATGGGCCCAGTAAATAATAGGTCCAGAGCATCTGGGGCTGGATATATTAACGGGCTTGGTGGAAGGATATTAATTGGACACAGTTCAGCGGTCCAATTTCCGCCTATGTTCGGGGATCGTGCCCTCCCACTCCTCTTCCTCCCTCCCTCCCTGCTCGGTGCCTTCTGGAGCGCAGAGATCGTCTGTCTGAGAGGATGCTGATGGCCGCGAGGCTCCTCTCTCGGATTGCCCGGAGTGGGCGGCGCCACCAGGTACCTCCGCTTTCTCCCGGGGCCAAGAGCTGTGGAAGCCAGTTCGCGCCGAGCCCATGGGCAAAGGTGAGGTTTTTGTTCCCCTCCGGGAGGGTTTAGGGCTTGTTTATTTACTCCACGAAACCTCGTGTGGAAGATACTCGAAGGGGAGCAGATATAGTTTGACATTCGGTGGCGAGAGTAAATTAATTTTTTCAATCTTGTTAAAATGAACTCGAGGCCCTTGTTACCGTATTTCTGGTGTGTGTGTGTGTGTGTACTTCTTGATGGTTGCCTTACCATTGCAACTGATCATACGCAGCAAGGCATGTCTTCCATCACTTCCAAGTGCTTCTCTACGACGGTGTTGGGTTCACAGGGGCAGGAAGTCGTATTCCCCCAAGAGTTGCTGTCGAAGCAGAAGGTCCTGATTCCTGATCGTCCTCTAGGTATTGGGTTCACTGCTTGGTTTGCGTTTTTTTTGTCTCGAGTACTTGCGACATTTGCATACTGAATGATTTTCACGGTTAATGAAATATTTTACAGGTATGATGTATGCAGATACTACATTGTGATGATAATTCAAAATTATTTTTTTCTATAATCCAGCATTCGGTTATCTTTTTTCTAGTTTTATTTTTATACTAATAAAGTACTTATTGATTGCATTCATAACTAAAATGGATTGCTGTTCGTATTTATGCTATTGATTTTAAACCTTTTTCTATAGCTTTTAAGACTTCCTCCTACTTCATGCCACGTTCTCGTCTCTCGAGGTCAGGTGTCTGGCCAATGTTTTCTCGATGGATCACGTCCTTGAGCATGTTAAAATCCACAGCAAAGTTGTGAAAAAAATTCCGAGTGTTAAAAGGTTAAGAAGACGACTGCAGTCAAGTTTCTGAACCCCTCAGATTCATTGTATAGAATGGGGACCATATGTGTAAAATACTCGACGAAAATAGGATATGAAACAAGGTTGATTTGTTCGAACAGCACATTGAATTTTATAGCATTAACATCTTTCCGTCACGAGTTCAATCAAGATAGATTTAAAGTCTCTGTATGGACATATTGAACCGGGGTGAACAAAAACTTACATAGAAGGATATTGGTATTTTGCGTTTCATACTGTTCATTTTTGTTAATGAAGACAATGCCTTGAACTGAATCAAGACTTGAAAGTTATAAAGGAAAAGTGGCTAAAAAAAACGCAATAATATGGGTTGACTGAAGTCACACAGATATTAGGACGATGAAAGGTAGACAGAGATGAGTGTACACGATTAATGCCTGCCCTCTAGTCATTGTCTGCAAAGGGGATTTGGACTGAAGGACAGCTGCAACACGAGTTAGGTAAAAGGATTCATGAAGCTGTGAATATATTAGGATGATTGTTACATGCCGGGGATTGCGTATTCTTTATTGGGACCACAATCAGTATTGCTACGAATGAACATAAGTGCTAAATTTTTTTATATTGCCGCAATGATCCAATTTCTATTCTATTATCACCGTCATGATCCCTTGTTGGGGGAATAAATTAATGCATTTGTCACATTGCAGGGCAGTATGCTGACCTAGTGACAAGGGTAACAAATTTTCAGAATGAAGACAAAGGTTTGATGGTTTTAGCGGGTGATGTCTTTGATGTGCCAATTAGAAAGGATATTGTTCATCGTGTTGTAAGGTGGCAACTTGCAAAGCGACAACAGGTATTACACTGTCGCTTGTTCAGTGTTCCGTAGGGACATGGAGACTTAAAACATTTTCACTCCCCGGGACACTGTGCCACTTTCTTAATTTATGATCAAGGCCGAATCTTCCATCTTCGTTAAGAACATTTTATTAGTAAGCATGTCCCAGGCAAACAGTTTAATGTATAGGAACTTTAATGGGTTTCAGTATTATTTCTGCCACGTGACTGTTGTTTTATGAAAATTTCTGCATGTTTTGAACGTTGGTTTTATTTTCTACTTCTAACATAGCTTTTCATTTTTTTAGGGAACGCACTCAACAAAAACAATCAGTGAAGTCAGTGGAACTGGGAGAAAACCATGGAGACAAAAGGGCACCGGGAGAGCAAGGCATGGGACGTTGCGTGGCCCACAGGTGAATGATTTTTTTAATGTTTTGAATGAATGGATAATAATTTTTTTTAGACACCAATATGTCTGATGTGCTCACTTGATATTTTTTAGACTTATTTATACATTTGAGTCTATTGTGGCCAATCAATTTTAGTGCATGGATAGTCGGCTAGATCACTAATTCTGTGACAAAAAAGTAGTGCTTATGTAGCTTATATGTGCATCCAACACATAACTCTTCCAGATATCTCGTTTGGTCTTGCTATCTGATTTAACGTCTGTGTTTAATATAATGTTGTTGTATTACAGTTCAGGCATGGTGCTACCATGCATGGTCCAAAGCCTAGAAGCCATGCTATCAAACTGCAAAAGAAGGTCCGCCGTCTAGGTCTGAAAATTGCTTTATCAGCCCGAACTGCAGAAGGAAAGGCAAGTTCTAAATTATCAAAACCCTATCATTATTGAGCATTTCCGTCACATTTGTGGGATATCTTATCTTCTTATTTCCTGAAGCTCAATCGTAACTTTTTGCCCAGTAGTTTGGAATCATTCTTTTTTTTTTTTTTTTCGTTTCGTAAACTTGATTGAAAGTAAAAGGACTTCTTTTGCGTTCTTCCGTCCAATGCAGTTGACCGGTATCTAATCTTTTATCCTGCGTGTGCATGATTAAACACATTTGGATGACTATATTTTATTCTATTTATTACCTGTGTCGAAGCTAGTACTAATCTTTTGTTTTCATTTCTCATACTCCTTGGATAAATTTGAGGCATTGCCTTTTTTGTTATGCACATGAATGCCCAATTCTCCTTGGCCCATTATGACATCAGAATATATATATATATACACACGCACACACACACGCATGCACACACACATGTATTCACTTGTGTTGATCGTCATTGCCCTTTTTAACGTCAATGTACTTAGTTGTTCCTCCCATATCCAGCTCGGCATAATATGCCTGATCTTTGCATAAGTTTACGATGGGTCTTTGATGTCTTAGTGACATAGATCATTCACATAAGAGGCTAGGATCGTCTGTGCTCCAACCCAATGACAAAAATAAGTTTTATTTATTTTTATTTTAATTATAATTATAAGCTTAATAGTTTTAGGTTAATTAATGCATGATCAAAAGGATTGAACATTGTCCATCAGGGATTTGCGATGGAGATAAGTATGCAAAACTGGCACCTTCAACGTATACATGGTTGAAAGAATGTGTGAGAAAAGTTCATCATTTTCTTAGCCTACAGGGTCGAACGTTTTGTTCTTAAAAATCTCACAAATTGTTTCATGTTTAAATTGTGGAATTGCTTGTCTACGTGTTCTAAGAAATTGCTGTCGTGGAAAATCATGTATCATTATCTCTGTTGTCTTCATCACAGGAAGAATCATGTAACTTTGCCACAACTGAATGGAACCAGTAGCATTGGTTTCTTCAGAAAGCCAACCATGTATGTAATTATAATTAGATACAGTAATGAACATTTTTCACAGCATCTCTCTCTATCTGTGTCACTCAACTGTAGATTTTAACTTTTTTTTTTTTTTTTGATCTTTATCTCGTGGAAGCTATCTGGTTTATCTGATGCAGCTCTTTTTTTTCTGCATTGTGTGTACTTTTTTGGATGGGAGATGGAAGCTTCTTCGGGCTTACTCCCTCATCGTCGGTGGGCTTATGGAACATTTTACTGCGTGTATAACCAGCTTATAATCTTCGAGGACCTCGCCATGCCCAGCCACAAGACAAAGTACGTTGTGACCGCAGTCTCTCAGATGGAGAATGCCAAGAAGGTCCTGCTCGTGGATGGCGGCCCCATAGATTCCAACTTACAGCTGGCCACGCAGAACATCCACTACGTCAATGTGCTCCCTTCGATTGTAAGCCCCTGCCATTTTTGCCTTCCATCTCCCTTGGGATTCACCGTCTCTCATCTCTCTTCATTTAAATGCATAATATATATATAATGTGTTGTATAATATCGCTGCTGCAGGGTCTAAATGTGTACAGCATCCTCCAACACGACACGCTTGTGATGAGCAGGGACGCTGTGAACAGGATAGTTGACCGGATGCACACGCCCATCAACCGCTGATGCGACTCTGACGTCAGGCAGTTCGATCGCCGAGTGTTAGGAAAAGGGGCTCTCGTCCGCGTTCTCTGCTCTATAAATTCTTTGAACTTTCCCGCTTTCTTCTTTTAGAAAGGGATTGTTTTGTTTCATCATATATATGATCGTATGGAGAAACAGATTCCAGTTCATGTAAAAGATTTTGACAGGGATTAACGCTTGCGAAGAGGAGATCAAAGTCAACGATCCCGAAAATGGGGAGGGAGCTAGCCGGACGGGGAAAGCTTGATCTCCTGCTCTGGGGACCACCGGTTGGATTCTCACATCACATTTGGTTCACTTGGTGGTGACTGTTCAACGAAACGTGGGTGGGTCGGGTCATCCATCCAGTTTATTTTATTTTTTTCCAATTATCGGAAACTTTGACTTATAATTGTTGAAGATTTTATTGACACAGTTGACCTTTTGTGTTATTAATTCAAACTTCCCACAACTTGGGAGTCGTCAACTCCACTAACGCTGCTCAGGATCCTCTAGAATATGAGAAGACAAGGTTTTTCTTTGCTCTTATTTACAGAGGACTGAAACATATGCAACAAGATGGAGGAGATGGATGGAAGGAATTTCCTTTTCTTTTTCCTTTTAAAATTTCTATATATGACAAATCGTCGCATTATGAGGAACAAAAAGGCTCCCAAATTTGGGAGAGAAAAGGAAGACGAAATATTTTTAGAGAGAAGTCAAACCCGACGATCTCCAGATTCTACCTTCAAGAGAGACCACCATGACCGAAACGTCATCATGGTACTTGCGGCGATCGCCGTGGGGAATATCCAACAGCGCATGAAAGTCCATCCCTGTTTCCCACAAAGTCAACCACCCTCATACGTCAGCCCAGCGCATTCATTAGATAGACACTTGAATAGCAGCCAGAAATCAGCCCACCCTCGGCGCATGAAGAAAAAATAAAAACAGGTTTTTTAAAAATAAATAAAATAAAAATAAAAACCGCACCATGCACAAGAGGTTTCTAGAAAATGATATACCGAGAAAAATCGCCGTGGCGAGATCATTTAAATAATTTCCGAGGAATCTGCAGTGAGGAGCATTACCGTTCTTCTTGGCGGCGCGAAAGAGAAGCTCCGCAATGAGGTACTGGGCAGGGTCTCCCTCAGGGACGTTGTCCATGAACCAGGCGACGTGGGAGATCACCTCCTCGTTGCTGAAGTACTGGTAGAGCCCGTCCGAGGAGAGGACCAGGAAGCGGTCGCCGGGGCAGAGGCGGTGGTGGACGATCGACGGAACGCAGCTGACGTACGGCAGCGTTCCCACATAATTGATTCTGAACATCTCCAGCAGCGCTTCATTAAAATTTGGCTGCAAAGAAAGCAGATCAAAGGATCACGTCACTCCCAAGTGGCAACCAAAACATAAATCTTTAAAAAAAAAAAAGAGAAGAAATTCATGGGGGTACTCCTTCAAAGGAAATTTATGCCATGCCCTATTACCTATTCTTGATGATCGTTGACTGTTGAAGCGGGAAAAAAAAAGGGCAAGAGATTTGCGAACTCAAAGGAGGGAGGGAGGGAGGGGGATGATATGAAAAGAAGAGAGGATTCTCGGCCTGCGTCCTGTTCAAGTGAGACAGACGGGCAATCTCTCAGAATTCCCCCCATCTTCATCACTTCGGATAAGAACTGGAGAGAATAATAATATGTATCGGCATCCCAGTGTTCATTCATCCATTGCAGACATCTAATGCACATCTCGGACTTCAAGCATGAACAAGTTACGGAGCTTATTCGACTGGGGCCAAAGAATATCTTCAGCAATTGAAGCACAAAAATGCGGAGCATTTCTCAGGGTGAGCATGGATTGGAGTTCTTAAAAAGACTGAAACTTTTGGATTCTAGGATGCCACTCACTGGAAATCAACGGTATGGCACACACGATTTGAGATCCTCACCTTCTTCAGAAACCCCGCTCCAAATGCTCGAGTGACTTTCAACTGACCCTTCACCCTATCATTAAAGACAGCTTGAACATCGTCAGGGTGCTCAGCTTTTATCCTGAGAACCTCCTGCAAATTGCACCAGGTCATCGAGATGGGAGAATCAATGTCTGAAGAATAGCATGTAAAACTGGAATTAAGGCCTAATTCATAATTTAATGTCAAATCCTACCCAGTGAATGAATGGATAGAATGCATATGGACTTTTAGATAAAATCAAAACACAATAGATAGCTGATCTACTGTATTTTCCTTCCTAGCCAGCTTTCTCCTGCTCCAGAGACCATCATATCTAGACAGGGACGATGTAGTCGCAACCAAATTGCTAGCATATTCATCCTCCAAGGAAGTACAGCAATATGATACACAGTCATGCTGCGAAAGAGGCCTCTCTGCGGGACTGCATGGTTGAACACAAGGATGATATTTTGCATTCTGAATGTGGGAAATAACAAAATACATCTAAAATTGGCAGCTCAAAAATCCCACATTGATTTCAGCAATGAGTGCCACTCGCATATTGCGTGCAAACAATTGGCGCCCATTTCTTCGGTAGTGGCACTAATGTATGCCACCGTATTAACCAAGATAGCAGCCCATGCCAAGAAAATATATTTATATAAACATAGATATATAGATATAGATATACACATATATGCAAGAGCGTGATGAAATATAATCGATGTATGATGCAGGTAATCCAACCGGGAACATGGCATTATCATAGAGAGAGGAGTCGTTTCCGCTCTGCAAATCCTCATACCTCTTCGACGTCGGTGCTGTGATCGGTGGTCAACTGGACGGCCCTCAGCTTCAGTCTGTAAATGGAAAGCTCTCTGTTCTTGTTTATCTTGCAGACGTGGCTGTTCGGGTTCCGCATGGGGGACTCCTCCGATATCCTGTCCAGCTCCACGCGCACAAGAGACTGGTTTGCCGCATTCGGGTTGAGATGCTGCGCGCTCGGCCTCTCCTGCGCCAGGATGACTCGACTGTCCCCGAGGTTCATGGTGTAGACGTCCTGGTCCTTCATCAGCATGACGAGGACGCAGGAGCCCATGAGGGCCAGCTCGGGGTTCCTGTCCAGGGCCCTCTCGACCATGTCCATGAAAGCTGCCTCGGTGGCTTCGAGGGCCTGGGAGAGCGCCTTCAGGACGGCATCGTGATCCACCGGGCCTGCCTTGCACCTCCTGATGACCGACGAGGACGAGCCGGGCGCCGCCTTATCACCATCATCGTCTTGTGTCGGATCCCTGTGCCAGTCGTAGCTCCAGGGGAAGAGCTTCTTGCGGATGGACTTGCGCTTGCTGTACACCAGCTTCATCTTCGACCCAACCAGGGATATCTTCTTCATCTTCTTCTTCCCCATCGTCTGCTCTGGCGCGTGCTCTTCCTTCTCCGAGCAGGACTGGGCACGGCAGAGGGCCAGCTCTGGATCATGCGGAACACCATCTGCCGTCCTGCTGGAGACCGAGGGGGAGGCCCTGGCATTCTGCTCTTCCATGAGCTCCATCTGGAGCAGCTCGTAGAGACGCTTGCTCTTCCTGCCATGGCCAGAAAGCTTGGAGGACGAGTCGGTCTCTTCCTTGCTCGGCGGCCCATCACCACCGCATTCTTCTCCATCATCAAAACGCGCATCAGCATTGCCGTTCTTCTCCATCTTTTGATCTTCTAACGATCCATTCGCCGCCCCACTTCCGGTGGCATCCTCTGCGGGCACTTTTTCAGTGCGCGAGAGTTGTTCTTCCGAAGATCTTGGAGCGTTGGTCCCAGGGTCACCATCCTCAAAGTCCCAGAGCAGGCCTTCCAGTTCTCTGTCGATGGCCTTGTACAGGTTGCCCATGAGGAAGTCCGGGGCGTCGGGGCCGCTAAAGCCGTCGTAGATGCCGACGAACAGCCAGCCCTGCTCTTCCGACAGCACGACGTGGACTCTGTCCTCGCCGGCCTTTCCGTGGGCCCACTGCAGGTTCCGGGTGCTGCCGTAGTCCTTCTCCGAGGGGCCGGCGGCGGCGGCGTCGGCGGCGGCAGCGCAGGTCAGCCCCGCCTCGGGGGGGCGTTGAGTGAAGAGCCGTTGCATCCAGCGCCGCCCGGAGAAGGAGAGGGCGCCCCTCACCAGCCGGCGGAGCGCCGCGGGCCGCCGGTCGGAGGAGTAGTAGAGCGGCGCCGAGAAGTTGCTCCGGTCGCCGGCGTCGAGGGGGCCGGACAGCATGGAGACGGCGCCGCCTCTCTCCAGGGGACCGGACATGGAGGCGGCGCCGCCCCTCTCCAGCGGGCCGGAGGCGAGCCCCCGCTCGAGGGGCCCCGACATGAAGCCGTTCAGGGGACCGGAGCCGTGAGGGGCGGGTTGCAGAGGGATCGCCGCGAAGGAGGCGGTGCTCTCGAAGGAGGCGGCGGGCTCCTGCGCGTCGCCGACGAGGAGCATGGTCAGATTACCAGTCCTGGCGGTGGAGGCGTTGGCGCTCACGGAGGCCCCCGAGATGGCCTTGAAGGTGGTCTCCGGGAAGAAGAAGCCGTTCTTGCCGGGGCGATGCAGGAGGCCGGACGGATCGTCGGCGGCGGCGGCGGCGATCTGCTCCTGCCGGAAGGAGCCGCTGCAGGTCTCGGAGTCGAAGGTGGTGGAATCGATGGTGAATCTCTCCGAATTGGAGGGGGTGATGGCGGGGGAGTCGGGGATCAACGGGCGGACATAGCAGAAGGAGTGCCCTAGCCCTTCGTCCAGAGGCTCCAGGAACTCCAGGTCCACCCCCTCCTTCCCGTTCCCGAACGTCGCGAAGCAGCCGCCGACGCGGGAGCTGCTGTTCCCCATTTCTCAGCTGCTGCTGCTGCTGGTCCTCCTTCTAGGCGGAGATTTCGGCGGAGATTGTGGAGAGGGAGCCCTCGGAGGGAGGATCCCTCGGGGGAGGCACCATGGGCAGGAACACGGGAGACGCCGGAACCCTAGAATCACCCTCCGGGGGGGTTCGCATCGTGGGAACTCGCTCAGAGCTGCGCCGCCGGGATACGATGGCTCCGGCCCCCAGCGCTCGCGCGCATCAGCGTCCCGCAACAATGGAGCAGCGGAGATTTTTCCTGTGAGAAGGAGACTGGGAACTGACCTTGCGGAGCGCCGCCGGACGCCGGCGGAGGACCAGATCGGGAACCCCGGCGGAGGAAACCAGGGCCAGGCAGAGGGAGGGCAAGAGCGGGAATGCCGATGGGGAAGGCGCTACGGCGGCGGCGCAGAAGAGGAGCAAAACGGGAGGAGGATGAGGAGAGGTGGAGTAAGAAGGAGGTGGAGGGGCGATGGGATTTGAAGTGGGGGGGAGGAGGAGAAAGGGAGGAGAGGAGAGAGGATCTGGAAAGGCGGGAGGATGGGATTTTTGTTTCGATCTGACGGGAGGAATCTCCTTTTCTCTTCCTCTGCTGCGGCGAGGGAGCCGGCAGCGGCGCTCATCCCATCCCAGAAGAAAGAGTGAGAGAGAGAGAGAGTAGAAAGAGGGAGGAGGAAGCAGCCCTGGTTTTCGTGCCTCGGCGTTTTCAAATGGTTTAGGAGGGCCGAAAGAGTCCCCCTTGAGTCCAAAGCTGAGCTCCACCATTCTCTCTCTACCCACCTCTCTCTCTCTCTACACCCCTCTCCATCTCTCTCCTCTCTCTACACCTCTCTCTCTCTCTCTCTCTCTGTGAGTAATTATAAACGGGAATGGCATCACAACGCCCATCTTGACTTGTTCCCCGCCGCCCGTATCCACCGCGCTGTCGCTCTTGTCAGCCCCGTTGACTAGCACAGAGCTCACCGAGCCTTCGCCGGTCCACGTCACCGACGACGATGACGACGTTATCTAACCCCGCCGCGCGGCCCACGCTGACTTCCTAACACGGCGATCTCGTGGCTTCCCCTCATTGGTCCACATTCGTCATAACGGACTGACGAGACCAGCTCCGTCGTACACTGAGTCAACGCCAGGCAGTCGTCTTCCCCTCTACATTAAAAAAAAACCCCCATATCTTCTATATTTTCTAAATGGGCTGCCGGGATATAAAAATTATGAGAAAAATCGACCGACCGTTTTTTAGTAATTTTTTTTCTTAAAATATTAATGCAAGTTAAGGACAAAAAGGTTGAAAATCGGCCATAGAAGGATTTTTTTATCTATAAATTGTTGTCTAGAAAAAACGTCATTTTAATAGAAGTCGAGGACAAAAATATTGAATTAATAAATACTCGAGCCTTGTCCGTTATCACCACTTGATGGGAGGAGGTGTTGATGCTGTAGACCCATCAGCATTGATCGTGACCGTTGATCGCCGGTTCTAGCTCTGATGCAATATGGGCCGCCCGATCAAATATGATCTGTCCGTCCGAGCCAGTCTCGGCGGATCCGACGGCGGTCCCCTCCTCCCGAACTTTCCCTTGGAGGCTTGGGAATCAGGCGGGTGAGCTCACCGGAAGAGGGATGTAGTGAGCTGACCTCCCGAGGCGCATAGGACAAGGCCCAGCCCAAACCCAATAAAATAATGATAATAAAATAATAAATAAATATTTTGTCTGGAATATTTAAACCGGGGGACCAGGTGTTGACAAAGTCCTAGGCGACTGCTGTCCCCGAGAGGAACGAAACAGCGAGCCGCTGTCTGGGCGAGCCTTAAAAACTCGAAGAGGAGTCAGAGATGAGCTCCTGCATCGAGGAGAGAGAGAGAGAGAGAGAGGGAGAGAGAGGGGGAGAGAGAGGGGGAGAGAGAGAGAGAGAGAGAGAGAGAGAGAGAGAGAGAGAGAGAGAGAGAGAGAGAGAGAGAGAGAGAGAGAGAGAGAGAGAGAGAGAGAGAGAGAGAGAGAGAGAGAGAGAGAGAGAGAGAGAGAGAGCGTGTCTGACTGTCACTCCATTCCAAGCGACTGGTGGCGTTTTGATAAGTAAACCCATGCTTTGAAACTCATGCCTACGCCTAAGAAGAGAAGACAGACAGACAGACAGGAAGAGAGGGAGAGGGAGAGATGGAGGGAGGGATGGGTAAAACCCGGTGGAGGTGAAATCATCACTGATGTGGGAAAGATTTGGTTACCAGAGGGGAACCACTGCACCAACCATGAGGGCGGATTCTCGCTATATTCCACGCGACTCGTGCCCATTTTTAATGGAAGGCCCATGCTTTCAAAGTCACGACCGTCCCACAGGAGGAAGAGGAGAGAGAGAGAGAGGACCCGTTGAATGGATTAGATTGATCAAGGAAAGGCCAGATACTCATAGATGAACTGGGAACAGCCTCCCCCCAGGGTTGGTGCAGTGGGTGGCCCCTGGTTACTAAACCTCTCCCACTTCAGTGATGATATCCACCTCCACTGTGAACTTCAAATCTCTCTCTCTCTCTCTCTCTCTTTCTCTCTCAATATCTGTCTGCATCCTTCCTGCAACTGCTCCACCGATGGTAAAGCTTCTGGCCAGCCTCATCATCCGAATCTGGTTGGGACGCTGACTTTCATTAACTCGGGACGGCAGCTTGAAGATGGCGAGGGAGGAGCGCACGAGCCCTAAAACGGCAGGACGGATGGCCGCCGCCATCAATGCCGCCGCTATTATCGCTCCCCGGCGGCGTACCTGCATGGCTACGTAACCCCTGACGTCCCCCTCCCGCAACCTCATCAGATATTTAATGGCGTCGTAGCGGGGACGACTCTCTTCCGTCCAACAGAGCGAGAGAGAGGGGGGGGGGAGAGAGAGAGAGGCATAGTGGGTGGAAGAAGTTGAACGTAGATCCGGCAATTCCCGTCGTGAGAGTGGACATTTTGGAGGCGGATTGACTCGTCGACGTCACAGCCCTTGACTTCATACTGGAAGTTCTTATCTTGAGAGAGGAATACGGCGAGAAAGAAGAGAGAGGGAGAGAGACTTGAGACACAAGATGCCGAGTCGAGACAGATCAGCAACGTCTTGGTGGAGCCTGAAACCTCGATGGTCAACGTAATCAGTGATGAGAGAGAGGGAGAGGCATAGTGGGTGGGAGAAGTTAAGAGCCCCGAGTCTGTCCGGTGTCTGTTGTCTGATGTCTCTGGTGAAAGCCCCACCACGTGTGGACTGGCAACTGACCTCACAACTCTCTTTCTCTCTCTCTCTCCCCCCCAGATGAATCGACGTACAAGAGAAATGCGAGCTACAGTCGGTCAACGCAGAGTCACCGGTCCACACGGCCTCTAGACCACTTTGGCCCTCTCTTAAACGTTCTGGAGGTTGACTTTGACTTCCCTGCGGATTCTCGCCTCGATTAGGCGGGCCGGCAGCCACAGCTTCGGCTCGAGCTCCACTACGTAAGATAGAATCGTCCCGAATTCCCGCCCAGTGGGCCCCACAGCTCTCCTCTTCTTCACCATCCCCGCCGTCCGCCTGCATGGACATGGAGCGGTTCAATAGGACCCTCTCTCTCTGATAGGTGCATAAGAGAGGCCGGGGGAGTCGGAATGCAATCTGGAGCATCTGATCATGACGCAGAGGAGGCTCGACGCATTTGATCAAAGAAAAAAGTCAAATCATAGGTGTTATCAGTGTGCAGACCGCCAGATTTTTGTGAAGAAAAGGATGGTTTTTTCTTGGGTTTGATCCCTGGAAAGAAGTTTATCATCCAAAACACACCCTATCGGCTGATTATCCCTCACAGATCTCCTTAATCTACTTCATACTTGGTTCTCCATCCTTCTAGTAAGCTTGGTGAATTTAATAAAATACCCGTCTAATACACGAATGGAGGTATTATTGATCATTGATGAATTGTTCAGGGATTCAAAACTAAAAAACCCCACCAGAAAGAAGTCAAAGAGAATCGCTCGATTTCCTAATCCTAGGCTACTGGAACACATGATCCCAACATTGACCAAGTCATTGATGAGCTAGTTCTTCAGGGATTAATTTAAAAAAAAAAAAAGGACCCATACGAACAAAACTGTTCTAGTTTGCCAGAGCTGGCCCTCCCCGACAGGACAGATGATCCCCAGAATCATCGGGACGAATAGCATGAACCGTGCGTTTTACAGTGACTGACGAATTCTTCAGGGATTTAGAACTAAATAACCCAGATCAATACTCGAAGACATACGATCTCAACGTTGGCATGCGGACCAGAATTTGCGAATTTTATGAAAAAAATGATGAGACCATGCGATGAACTCTTCAGGGATTATGAACGAAAAAACCCGGAGCAATGCAGGAAGCAGCAGCATATGATCCCACTTCTGGAGCATTGAACATAAATTGCGAATTTCTAACGAGAAAGTCTTGAAGCTGGTGTTGAAAAAGTCAACGGGGGAATGGAGGAGAAAGCTCTGACCTGAAGAATGGACCAGATGCCGGCGAATGTCAGAAAGTCCCCCTCGATCATCATGAACTCGATCTCTCTCCTCCGCCCGGAAGGAAGAATCTCGAGATCTCTCTCCAAGAAGTCTAAAGTCGTCTTGGCTTCAAATGTCAGCCCGGGCGCCAGATCCTGCCGGACAACCTGTTCGACCCGGACCGACCGAGTCATCTCCAGTGCTCTAAAAATGTATGGATTATCTCAAGCTTTGCTGAGAATAGAAACAAATGATTAATCTCAAGCTCGCAGAGAATGACGATTTAAGAGGAATGAAAATTGTATCCCAAAATGAAAATTGTATCCATCAGGGCTGAAATCCAGATGAGCCAAAAAAAATATTAATATCAGCAGAATATTTGAAATGGAGCAGATCTATATATATCTATATATATATATATATATCTTTTGACAATAATGGATATATATATATATCTCACACCCAGTTGGCAGAATTGAGGCATAAAGAACAGAAAAAAAAAGAAAATGAAAAAAAAAAGAACTTATACCACGCCGAAATATGACGTAGAGCAGATGGGTAGGCATAACAACGGCAAACAAGAAAAAATCTGACTTTCTTATTCTGCTATTGACTAAGATAGAATCCATCAAGTAGAAATAATAAGAGGAAAGGAATCTGTATCTGAATAGAGCCGAAATAGATACAAAAATAGATGAATTCAAACTCATTTTAAAAACAGATGAATACAAAAATAGAGCAAGTGCGCAGGGAATCTGCATTCAAAAGCTTTTCTTTTTCCCCTCCCACCCGGGCAGTAGCCAGCAAAGAGAACCAGCGTAGGAGGAATCGGAAATCAACTATTTTAAAGAAGCATTCCAGGCAGAAACTAGCAAGTAGCACAAGAGTACGAGACGTTTAGTCCAAGCATGTTCGTCTTCTAGCTTTTCGGGTGAAATTCTAACGCAGAGAAGAATACTAGGTAGGAGAGATCTGAATCGAAACAGGTCCGCTTCCTAATTTTTTTGGGGTGAAATTCTACCGAGCAGAAGAACATTACGAGCGATCTGCATGCGAATGTAGTCTCAATACATGGAACATTAGATGGATATTAACCGACCCAGACTTGAATTCTAGGAATCTAGCATCAAAAAATATTTCTTCTCTTCACCCAAGTCAACCAAGAGAGACAATTCTCTCTCTCCGCCTCCTCTCTCTCTCTCTCCGCCTTCTCTCTCTCTCTCTCTCTCTCTCTCTCTCTCGATATGCATATATCTATCTACTTACCTGGTAGAGCCTGGAGAAGCCCTCCCCCTTTTCAACCAGCTTGCAAACAGCGAGGCTGGGAATGAACTCGGTGAGGCCCTCGTAATCGGTCAGAACGGTCCACACAGTCTCCAAGGTGGCGTCCACGCTGATCCGCGCCTGTACACGCCGCCGGTTCCTCCCCACCTTCGCAACCTGGACTCCGAAGCCATCGCTGCTGTCAGCGTCTCCATTTTCCTCGTCGGAGGCTGAATCCACCTCGTCATCTCGAGGCAGCGGGGGGGCCGTTTCTGAGGAGGGAATCTCCGACGAGGAGGGCGGGTGAGGGCCGATGGACGCTCTAGCCGCACATGCCAGGTTTTTCCTGGCGGGGGCGGAGGTCGAGGGGAAGCAGAAACTAACGTTCTGACGGGGATGGTGGTGGTGGGTTGCGAGGACGGCGTGGGGAAGGGGGCGGGCTGTGGCGGAGGCAGAGATCATCCTCCTCTTCTATCCTTTTCACACCACCCTCTGTGTCTGTTGGTCTGTCTGTCTGTCTCTCGCTCTCTCTCATGAACCGGTTCGGAGCCGGTTAACGGCCGGTTCCACAGCCACACATGAGAACCAGATAAAATCTCGATGTCCATCCAATCAGCTCAATTGCCGCAAATTTAATAATCAAAATAGATTTAAAGAGAATTTGAACGAAAAATATCTTAATTTGAGGTGATTGAGTGTCTCATAATTCAAATCGTGTATATTGATATGCGATCAAAGAATATTGAAAAGCTTAGAAAAATGGTGCAAAACAGCATGTTAGCCATTTAAAGGTTAGATCTTTCACTGAACTTATGAGAGAGGAGATCAAAAGATATGGGTAATCCCACCTCATGCTCTTCCATGATGCTAGAGTCCATGCATAAATTGTTTCATCCTAGAGGTACGAGATAATGCTCTATGTGAGCGATTATAATGAAAAATGACTCATTATAGTTGCATGAGAAAGAACTCAGGGCCTAAGGATCATATTTTCAATGGCACTAGGGGAGATGACAAACCTTAACTGGTTCACATCTTCCTATATCTCCATGTTGTCGATGCTTTAGAGGGCCAAGTCTGTCCCTAGGGTCAATCTTGAGCTCTTGATGAAAATCCTCATAACAATTTCCACACGTTGAAAATGATTGTGAAGGGTGACATTCACGTTCTCCATAAAAAAAGTCAACCACCACAAATGTCAAGGTCAAGCAAAAATTATGGAGGATTTGTGAGACACAAGCAACGAATATGCCAAAAGTAAACACATGATTGTGCGCCCCTTAGTATTATAAAGATATCATCATTAGAAGGAGGGGGGGAGGGAATTTTGGTTACTGCTTACATTGAGATTGACCATCTCAAATTAGTTGTTATCAAGAGAATTCTTTTGGTGTTCTCTTTAATCATCCTTTCTCTTTGTTGTTCTTTTAATCTCTCATCGTCTTCTCACAAAACATGCGCTCTATTCTTTTCTGAACTTTTGTTATATCAATAATCTTTTACTACATTAGTCTTCTCAATTCTATTCTTGATTTGATCCCCCCGATGATTTGTTTACAAGAGATGGGGTGGAAACTTATCAAATTACTATCAAAGTCATGAATCCTAAGTGCATTAATCAAACAATAATTTTGACCTACTTGATATTTATCATAATGTCACTGTATTTTAGAGAAATGCTAGTGAACTTTGTGGCAAGACAACATTAATCAAACAATAATTAGAATATATCATCCTTAGATTCACATTAAGAATTAGTCATCTCTATGGCTTAAGGAACTGCAGAGTGAGGATCTATAGATCTATTAAAGGATTATATCTTAAAAGAATCTATTTGTAACCACTTGCACATCTTTACAAGGTAGCTGGTGAATCAGCCCTAATCAACTAACATCATATTCATTGCAACAATTCACTTCGACCTAGATTAGTCATAACTCAAGTTTTACATCATATTTTTGAGCCATGTAGAGTAATCGAAAACTAGAAATGCTAGTTTGCTACTAGATGAGTATTTCGAGCTGAGCTATTATTCTCCATCTTGTTTTACCTTGATGAAAGAATTTTCTATGACTAGTGGTAGCATGGAAGGTGAGGCTTTCACTTTATTCAAATGAACTGATTCTTATAAACTATTTAAGAATTGAGACAATTTCCAACTACAATTATTTGAGTATTTAGGTTCTAACCATACATAATTTCTTTGTTAAAAACTATTATAATTTTGATAACATGGATCAATCATAGTCTATAATGAAGAATTTAAACTCATGATGAGTGTTATTAAAGATTTACAAATATGTTCTAGAAAAATTATTTTTTCCTAAGGCTTGCAAAAAGATATTCAACTAGACGTATGCTTCCAGGAACCTTTTGAGTTAAAAGTTATTGTGAGAACCACTCAAAAAGTGGAAGTGAAACATAATATTCTTTACAAATTAAATGATTACAACAACACTCATAAGTTTCACTCTTCGAAATTTCTTATTCTAACTTATCACCTACAAAGACGTAAATGACCATAATTAAATTTTATGTGACATGAAAAAAATATTTCAACAAACATTTCAACAAAAAATGATACTCAAAATTATACTCTATTTTTTGGAAGAAATAAATAGAGGAATCTTATTCCTGTGGAAATTCAAAATCAATTTTCTCAAGTTCTTTATTTTTCATGCAATAAGAAATTTGGTCTATACCATCATTGTCGATGAGATTTACAAATTATGGTAGTACACGATGAGGCTCTCTAAGACAAAAAATATCACAATTGAAAATATTCTTAATTTATCTTTTTGTTCTCCTTCTTAGAGCTATTGCTCAATGTCTTGACTGATGAATCTTTGATCAAATATCTTAAATTTTAGGACAAAATCAATGATAAAATTGACATTGTTCTGGTCGACATTGGAACTCTCATGATTTTATTTTATAGTACATTGTCAATCAACTAAAATTATGGATCACATCCACACCTCAATACCAAGTTATCACTAGAACAAGTAATAAGGTTTTATACATGAGGTTATGTCATGACATCACAATTGAATTTTAAACTATCTCAATCTATAATGATCTTTTAGTTACACCACTAGCTATGGTTGACATCATCTTGAGATTAAACAAATGTTAACTTTAAAGTAAATTGAATTAGATTTCAACATGTAGACACTCTCCTTCTTTTCTAAATCAAATGACTAATTGTGCAAGAAAAAAATTCATATAACAAAACTAATATATCACTAAAAAATTAGTCAAAAATAATTAAATAAGGTGAAATATCAATCAAATTATTTCAATTATCACAACAAGATTTTAATAGTGACAATGACATCAAAATGTGACTCTAGATCTAATTTCTTTTTGGCAACTTTCAACATAGAAGGTTTTCCATCTCATCAAACTAGAACTTACTACAAATTCATCATTATTTAACCTTTCAAATACTTATATTTTTAAAAATTAGAGATTGAAAAGCTTATTCATGAGATGTTATTTATTAAGATCATCAAATATTCGACAAGTCCCTATTCCAATCTAGTCTTACTCATTAAAACAAAAGATAGAGTTAGAGGTTTTCATGAACTATCATGTATTGGAGAAAGTTATGATTTTGAATCGATTTCTTCTTTCAATTGTCAAAGAATCATTAAATGAATTACATGTAAGTTTTTTTTTTCGAATTAGATTTATGATCAGTATACTCAAACTTTTGACATTTTGCATGCATGAAAGTTATTACGAGTAATGACTTTTGGTCTTACAAAAACTTCAAGAATCTTTTGATCTCTCATGAGCTACATTTTTGACAACCTTCTCAAAAAAATTATATTAGTTCTCTTTATTGACATTCTTATATCGTAGGACTCACTTAAGATCCAGTGTCTTTGTATTTAGAGAACACAATTATAATGTGAGGACTCATGAATTTCATTTATAAGAAGTTTTTCTGATTATCTAAATTTGCAACATACACATCAGTTTTAAAAAATACTCGTTCAAAGAACCTAAACTTGCATATCTTGGTCATTGGGTTTTGACAAAAAAAGGTTAATGATTGATCATAGAAAGTAAGTGAAATTATCTAGTGGCATTCATTGGCAACTCTATGTGAACTCTGTGGATTTCTTAGCTGAATATGATATTTCATGAGTTTTATCTTTTTTTACAACATAATTTCATAACAATTAGCTCTAAAATTGAAGAAGGATTCTTTTAACTAAAACCAAGAAGTGAAAGTAACCTCCTAGTGTCTCAAGATAACTCTCATTTCTACTATAATTTTAGTTCTTCTGAATTTTTCCCAAACTTCCCAAATTGGAAGTTGATGCTTCAAGTCAAGGTGTTAAGGTAATGCTTATGTCAAAGTAGTGATGCATTGCTTTCTTTAATCAAATATTTTCATATCTTGATGACTTCAAAAAAAATTATGAATGAGAATTGTCGGCTATTGTCCTCATAGTATTATAGTAGAATCATTATCTTTTGGAGAAAAAAATCATTTTATATATTGATTAATATATTTAAATTATTTCTTAAAATAGTGGTAAGTACTTGCCTAATATCAAAAGTGGTTGTCGAAACGATCATTTTCAATTTTGAAATTTGATACAAATTAAACATTGAGAATAAGGTGATTGATACCTTATCCAAAAAACTTGATATATCTTCATTTTAGACTTTTAAACTCTTTCATTGGAACTCTTAGATGTGGATCTAATTTTATGTAAAATTATTATTTTTATATGTGAATGGTAAAATCAAATTGTATTAATAAAGAAGAGGCTATAAGTCTCTATTTATATATATAGAGAGAGATGTGCACTAAGCCCTCTAATGGCTTATATCTAACACTCTTCCTTAAGCTGGAGTATATAGATTGAATATACCGAACTTAGATCTCAAACAATTATACGACACACTGATGAGACTTTTGGTGAAGATGTTAGTAAGTTGATCAGATGAAATAACTTCTGTCAACACCTTGTCACAGATAAAATGACAGTCAATCTCAATATGCTTAGTCTTGTCGTGAAAGGTAAGATTTCTAATAATAAAAATAGTTGCTTGGTTATCACAATGCATAAACATACGTGTCGGAGTCATGACGTTCAAATCTTATAGAAATGATTGTAGTCATACTATCTCACAAGTAGTAGTAGCCATAGCTTGGTACTTAGCTTCCACATTAGAACAAGAGATGACCTTTTGTTTTTGAGAATGTCAGGTGACCAAATTACCTCCAACATATATGTAATACCTCGTAATTGATTTTTGATTTCCTTTGTTTCTAACATATTTAGCATCAGAATAGGCCTCAATACAAAGATGATTATGACACTAATAAATAGGATTTTTGTCAGGGACATACTTGACGTATGCGAGAACCCATAATGTACCATCTAAGGTTCCTACATGAACTAACTAAAAATATTGACAACATAGGTAATATCAGGGTG